GAATCAGTCTTACTGTTTTAATAAATTGCTATACTAATGAGGTAGATAACTGTACCTCCACAATAAGGCCCTACTGTATACAGGGTATATCCTCCTGGTTTACCTGTCACTTCACATAACCTTAAATAACCCATAACCAGCACATACTCCCCCCAACAATATCAGTCGGCACCATACTGCTTCATCCTGGATATATATTCTCCCCAATTTTAAAGTGTCCTTCACCCCAGCCATCCATGGTCTGGTCCCTTCCCTCTCCATTTTATATATAAACCATATAAGATTATAACCAGAATAATGCTAAAATGGTGAATAATTATATATCTATCAATGGAAACACTATTTTGCTGTATTCTACTGTATAACTGACCTGTTTCATTTTGCTTTCCCTGGTTATAAAATTTCTGTTTAATTTCTTTTGCCAGTTGCACCAAAGCTGTTAGTGGAACCTGATGACCTGTACGCCAGTCCAGGCTCAAGTATCCACTTCACATGTCGGGCTGATGGAGTTCCCCACCCATCATCTCTTGGTTCAAAGATGGTCAACCTGTTGTGCCATTTGGTGGCCTCACTATCTCCCTACATGGTGAGTTTGCGGTGACCTCACTATCGTCCTACATGGTGAGATATGGTGACCTTACTAGCATCCTACATGGTGAGATATGGTTGCCTCACTATCTCCCTACATGGTGAGTTATGGTGACCTCACTATCTTCCTACATGGTGAGTAATGGTGACCTCAATTATCTTCCTACATGGTGAGTTATGGTGACCCCACTATCTTCCTACATGGTGAGTTGGTGACCTCACTATCTTCCTACATGGTGAGTTATGGTGACCTCACTCTCAAGATGGGACTTAGAAACCTTCCATATCAAGATAGATTAAAGAAACTAAACTTGCATTCCCTAGAAAGACAAAGAGTGCCAGGAGATATGATAGAAGTATTTAAGTGGGTGAAAGGAATCAATAGAGGAGATATAGATAAAGTTCTTATAATATCCGAGCAGGATAGGACTCGTAGCAACGGATTTAAGTTGGATAAGTTTAGGAGGGAGATAGGAAGGAACTGGTTCACAAATAGGGTGGTGGACGAGTGGAATAAGCTTAGCATCTTTGTAGTAAGTGCTGGAATGCTGGAAAGTTTTAAAAGGAGGCTGGATAGATTCATGGATGATAGAGAGTGGTAGTAACTCTAGACAGGAGCTGCCATGCAACAGGCCAGCCGGCCTATTGCAGACTTCTTTATTTTCTTATGATCTTAAATAGAACAGTATTGGAATGAATTCAAAGAAATGACATTCAAGGGTGGAAAAACTTATAGGACAAAAAGTGTGATCATGCTATAACTGATTGGATCACAAATTAAATTTTAAGAAAATGTGTCGGAGAAAAATGTTGGTTAGTAGAAGTGGAGCTTAATGGTCGGTCGCTTGCCATCTCTGTAACAAAGGTGTTAGCACCAGGGCCTTCGTTGTTGAGTGGTGGCAATTGGATAGGACATAAAGAGCACTAAGGTCCTCTTAGTGATGTGAATGTGTAAATGAATGTAGGATTTTTAACGTTATTCACGATTGTATATTGAAGGAATATTGACAGGTTAAAGAAAGTATTTTTGGGATTGTGATAATAGGAGACATAATTAAAGGAAAGAGAAAAAAAGATAAAGAAACAAAACAAAAGAGAGTAATTGAATGATTCTATAAAAGTGAAGGCAGGTTCCTTAGCCTTGGTAACCCATTAGGGGTAGTGCAGATATAATTTATTGACTGCTGAGCCTTTGGTACATAAGGAGGCAAGTAGGCTGGCACTGCATTCAACTATCTTCACTTTTATAACCACAATACTTTACTGTATAAAGTTAAGTACCTATTCACAACCTGGTAAACTGAGGGTACAAACATTACACTCACTTGGCCACAATACTCCCCGAGTTAATAAGTAGTAAAGCTAATGAGGTTCGATTTGAGGCAAGTAAAAGAAAGAACTTCAGTACAGTGCTAGTGAGAGAGTGGAGATGAGAAACAAAAAGGAAATAAAGATACTATAGAAACTAATTTTATCAACATGATTTTAAGCAGTTGTGAGGAAATTGAAAAAGGAAAGAAGGCAGTGGTTGATCAGCTTCCTGCAGAAATTCAAAAACAATTGGGCCATTATGGAATTCATTGTTTGACTAAAACATGTGCAGGGTACTGTAATTATATAATACAAAGGAAACCTTCCCCCCTGATGTTTTAAAAAGGTTGACTTTTGCATTGTTACTAAAAAAACTGGGGCCTGTAGAGTGCAGTCAGTTTTGGACAATTAGTACAATGAGCCATGCAAGTAAATTGTTCTTAAAGATGATTTTAAAGAAACTAAAAACTAAAATGATCAGTCAGTTATCTGAAGACAAAATTGGTTTAGAAAGGTGAAGAGGTTGGGCAGGTGTCTTGGTTTGAGAAATTTAAGTGAGAGGGATTTGGAGGTACAATGAATGACAAAAGTCGTGTCGTGTAATTTGGTGAAAACATATGCCGAAGGGCTAAACTTTTGGTGCACTCTGCCTTGTGGTAGCGGCTCTCATTATGTTTCACGAGTTATATTTAATCTTCGGACAAAAACGCGACACTACTTTTGTCTTTGATCTGTACATACAAAGAAACTGCACTGTACAAAACTGTATCTTTTATGGATTTGCGGGAAAATATATGGTACTAAATCAGTACTGTATGCTTATTGATATCATGAAAAGATAGACAATTTGGATGGAGGTATTGGATTTTTATTTATTTATTTATTTATTTTGTATCAAGATGCTTCAGTTTTATTATGTAACAAATTTACTCATTGGTTAGAGTTGGGCAGAGAATTACACAACATTTTCTTTTATTTGCATATTCAGTATGAAAATGGCAATTTTCTTATGGTAAATAGTGTAGAAGTTAGGTTTAAAAAATTGCACCGAAAATGCAACAGATGGTGTTTTTTTTAAATCTCAACATTCACTTGTGGTTTTTGTTTCATGAAACAGAATTTCAACAAACAAACAAATTAAAAAATAATTTCCCACAGTAACGGAGCTTTAATGTGATAGTGAGATACAAATACAGTATGTAGTGTGGAGAGATTGAAACATTACAATACAGTATGTAGTGTGGAGAGATTGAAACATTACAATACAGTATGTAGTGTGGAGAGATTGAAACATTACAATACAGTATGTAGTGTGGAGAGATTGAAACATTACAATACAGTATGTAGTGTGGAGAGATTGAAACATTACAATACAGTATGTAGTGTGGAGAGATTGAAACATTACAATACAGTATGTAGTGTGGAGAGATTGAAACATTACAATACAGTATGTAGTGTGGAGAGATTGAAACATTACAATACAGTATGTAGTGTGGAGAGATTGAAACATTACAATACAGTATGTAGTGTGGAGAGATTGAAACATTACAATACAGTATGTAGTGTGAGAGATTGAAACATAATACAGTATGTAGTGTGAGAGATTGAAACATTACAATACAGTATGTATGTGAGAGATTGAAACATTACAATACAGTATGTAGTGTGGAGAGATTGAAACATTACAATACAGTATGTAGTGTGGAGAGATTGAAACATTACAATACAGTATATGTAGTGTGGAGAGATTGAAACATTACAATACAGTATGTAGTGTGGAGAGATTGAAACATTACAATCAGTATGTAGTGTGAGAGATTTGAAACTATTACAATACAGTATGTAGTGTGGAGAGATTGAAACATTACAATACAGTATGTAGTGTGGAGAGATTGAAACAACAGTATGTAGTGTGGAGAGATTGAAACATTACAATACAGTATGTAGTGTGGAGAGATTGAAACATTACAATACATGTAGTGTGGAGAGATTGAAACATTACAATACAGTATGTAGTGTGGAGAGATTGAAACATTACAATACAGTATGTAGTGTGGAGAGATTGAAACATTACAATACAGTATGTAGTGTGGAGAGATTGAAACATTACAATACAGTAGTATGTGTGTGGAGAGATTGAAACATTACAATACAGTATGGTGTGGAGAGATTGAAACATTACAATACAGTATGTAGTGTGGAGAGATTGAAACATTACAATACAGTATGTAGTGTGAGAGATTGAAACATTACAACAATGAGTGTGAGAGATTGAAACATATACAGTGTGGAGAGATTGAAACATTACAATACAGTATGTAGTGTGTGGAGATTGGAAACATTACACAGTATGTAGTGTGGAGAGATTGAAACATTACAATACAGTATGTAGTGTGAGAGATTGAAACATTACACACAGTATGTAGTGTGGAGAGATTGAAACATTACAATACAGTATGTAGTGTGAGAGATTGAAACACATAATACAGTATGTAGTGTGGAGAGATTGAAACATTACAATACAGTATGTAGTGTGGAGAGATTGAAACATTACAATACAGTATGTAGTGTGGAGATTGAAACATTACAATACAGTATGTAGTGTGGAGAGATTGAAACATTACAATACAGTATGTAGTGTGGAGAGATTGAAACATAAATACAGTATGTAGTGTGGAGAGATTGAAACATTACAATACAGTATGTAGTGTGGAGAGATTGAAACATTACAATACAGTATGTAGTGGAGAGATTGAACATTACATATGGTGGAGAGTAAACAGTATGTAGTGTGGAGAGATTGAAACATTACAATACAGTATGTAGTGGAGAGATTGAAAACATTACAATACAGTATGTAGTGTGGAGAGATTGAAACATTACAGTATGTAGTGTGGAGAGATTGAAACATTACAATACAGTATGTAGTGTGGGAGAGATTGAAACATTACAATACAGTATGTAGTGTGGAGAGATTGAAACATTACAATACAGTATGTAGTGTGAGAGATTGAAACATTACAATACAGTATGTAGTGTGGAGAGATTGAAACATTACAATACAGTATGTAGTGTGGAGAGATTGAAACATTACAATACAGTATGTAGTGTGGGAGAGATTGAAAACATTACAATACAGTATGTAGTGTGGAAGATTGAAACATTACAATACAGTATGTAGTGTGGAGAGATTGAAACATTACAATACAGTGTATGTAGTGTGGAGATTGAAACATTACAATACAGTATGTAGTGTGGAGAGATTGAAACATTACAATACAGTATGTAGTGTGGAGAGATTGAAACATTACAATACAGTATGTAGTGTGGAGAGATTGAAACATTACAATACAGTATGTAGTGGAGAGATTGAAACATTACAATACAGTATGTAGTGTGGAGAGATTGAAACATTACAATACAGTATGTAGTGTGGAGAGATTGAAACATTACAATACAGTATGTAGTGTGGGAGAGATTGAAACATTACAATACAGTATGTAGTGTGGAGAGATTGAAACATTACACACAGTATGTAGTGTGGAGGAGATTGAAACATTACAATACAGTATGTAGTGTGGAGAGATTGAACATTACAATACAGTATGTAGTGTGGAGAGATTGAAACATTACAATACAGTAGTGTGTGGGAGAGATTGAAACATTACAATAGTATGTAGTGTGGGAGATTAAACATTACAATACAGTATGTAGTGTGGAGAGATTGAAACATACAATACAGTATGTAGTGTGGAGAGATTGAAACATTACAATACAGTATGTAGTGTGGAGAGATTGAAAACATTACAATACAGTATGTAGTGTGGAGAGATTGAAACATTACTAATACAGTATGTAGTGTGGAGATTGAAACATTACAATACAGTATGTAGTGTGGAGAGATTGAAACACATAATACAGTATGTAGTGTGGAGAGATTGAAACATTACAATACAGTATGTAGTGTGGAGAGATTGAAACATACAATACAGTATGTAGTGTGAGAGATTGAAACATTACAATACAGTATGTAGTGTGGAGAGATTGAAACATTACAATACAGTATGTAGTGTGGAGAGATTGAAACATTACAATACAGTATGTAGTGTGGAGAGATTGAAACATTACAATACAGTATGTAGTGTGGAGAGATTGAAACATTACAATACAGTATGTAGTGTGGAGAGATTGAAACATTACAATACAGTATCTACTTTCTCATCCGTACCATTGTCTTTATTATCAGGTTTGAGTGAAGATACTGAAATATCTCATTATAGTACACCTTTGATATTAATGGTCCTTTTACTGTACTCATCCAAGGCCAAAAAATAGCAATGATTATTTGATTTTAATATTCATGTGTCAGAGTATATAACAAGACTGAACTGTTAATTGTATTCCCATTGAGGTTAAAATCGACAAGTATAATTAGTCTCCATCATTATTCATCTTATAAATGACTGTACAGTACAGTTTTACCCCGCTTAACGCCGCTTCACTTAACGCTGCGATATACGCCGTGCCTTGCCAAAGCTGAACTTTCACTTAACGCGGTTTTTTCCACATATACGCCGTGAGTGTCCGGAGACGCTATTTTTGGATTTGCCCCACCCGCCACCCTGCCTGACTGCCTGTTTTAGCTCATAAAATTCATACAAATTACCAGGCTAGAACATAATTTACATTGCTGGAATTTTATAATTTGGGATCATTTTGAATATAAACATCATATATTTTGTTTAAACTTACAATTTTAGATAAAATTTTCTCTAGTAACTATGGTATCTTTTGTCCAAAATATATGACATTTATATTCAAAATATTCCTGGTCTTACAAGGAATCCAGCAATGTCAATTATATTATCCTAACTTTAGTTTGAGGTATTATTTATTAAAATTTAGTGGTTATCCCACACATCTCCTTGGGACGGTTGGTGGGGGGAGGAGGGACCAACCGACCATCTGTTACCGAAGAATTATTATTTTTTTATTAACTGAAGATATTTGTTTTAGCTCATAAAATTCATACAAATTACTCGTCAGAATATAATTTACATTGCTGGAATTCTTATAATTTAGGATCATTTTGAATATAAACATCATATATTTTGTTTTAAACTTACAATTTTAGATAAAATTTTTTCTCTAGGTAACTATGTTATCTTTTGTCCAAAAATATATGACATTTATATTCAAAAATATTCCTGGTCTTACAAGGAATCCAGCAATGTCAATTATATTATCCTAACTTTAATCTGAGGTATTATTTAATACTAAATGTTAAAAACTCTGAAGGAGGATTGGTGGGGGTGGGGAGGGTTGGGACTGACCGCGCGGTTGGAAGAGGGGAGGCAAGGTGGGGTACTTTGATTGACAGATAGTGTCGTGAAGATTATTTTTTTTATTAACTGAAGATATTTGTTTTAGCTCATAAAATTCATACAAATTACCCGGTCAGAATATAATTTACATTGCTGGAATTCTTATAATTTGGGATCATTTGAATATAAACATCATATATTTTGCTTTTAAACTTACAATTTTAGATAAAAATTTTTCTAGGTAACTATGTTATCTTTTGTCCAAAAATATATGACATTTATATTCAAAATATTCCTGGTCTTACAAGGAATCCAGCAATGTCAATTATATTTTCCTAACTTTAGTTTGAGGTTATCCCACACATCTCCTTGGGACGGTGGTGGGGGTGGGGGAGGGAGGACCGACCGACCATCTGTTAGCCGGCTGTGTAGTGTGAGAGGGAGGGAGTTGAGTCCATTATTTGAATGGACATTAACTTGGCGACTGTATTTCTCATTTCTCTTAAGTATTAATTGTGTGCATGTACCATCATAAAATTAAGATGTTATTTTACTACAACATAGGTAAGGTCTACGAAGGTTAAGGCACACCATGGGGAAAAAATAAAAAAAATCATGGTTAGGCAATAAAAAAATGAAAATAACACTCACCCGCCCCTCTTAGTATTTTGTTGTGTTTCCCTTCCTCTTCAGCACCTCTTTCAGTCGTTGTGGAACACTGTCTGCAAGGTTTTGCAGGTGCTGTGGGGTGAAATTGGCCCACAGTTGCTTAATTGCTGTGGTGAGCTTGGGGACGGACGAGGTGTCGAGGTCACGTAGGCGACGTTTCATGAGCCCCCAAAGGTTCTCAATAGGGTTGATGTCGGGGGAATTGCCAGGCCAGTCCTTAAAATATGAAACCTGGCAATCCTCCAACCACTGAGTAACCGACTTGGCTGTGTGGCAGGGAGCACCGTCCTGCATGAACACGACGGCGCGTGTTTTCTCAAACGAGTCAGGCAGAACGTCACAGAGAAGCTCGAGGTACACACCCTGGTTAACTTTAATGTTTTTTCAAGCACAACCAACTCACCAACACCGTAATAAGTGAAACAACCCCATACCATCACTGAATCAGGATGCTTGACCGTCTTGACGGTGTACCTGGGGTCGAGCGGGTCAGAGTCTGGCCGGCGGTACACCCGATCGTGACCACAACCACTCACTGTAAACGTGGCTTCATCACTCCAAAGGACGTTCCTCCAATCCTGAAGGGACCAAACACTGTACTTCTTCGCAAAAGTGATCCTCTTCTTCTTCTGGGCAGCAGTCAGCAGGGGCTTACGGCGTGGGCGGTAGGCGTGATAACCGAGATCGTCATGAAGAAGCTGCTGCACCGACCTTAAGGAGACGTGACCAAGGAGTCCGGGGTTAGCTTGCTTTAATTCCCGGGCCGTGAGCTTAGGATTAGCATTAACTTGCCTAGCAATCACCTTCCTGGTTCTAGGAGACGTAAGCCGTGGTCGCCCAGACTTGGGTTTAGGGGTAGGCAACTCTTCCTGGCTGTTTGCCTCAAACTCCGAGATGAATCGGTACACTGACCGGCGGCACACACCGGTTAATTCAACTATTTCAGTAACTTTATGATTAGCCTTGTATAAACCAATCACCTGTGCAATATCCTCACGCTTAGTAACTCTCCTGGACATCTTAAAGACCCAGAAATCACACGATAAAGCACTGTAACTCAGGCGTAAAATCACGGCACGTGGCGCTCACATGGGTACAATAACCTCCACCCACGCAACTTAAACAAAGACTGAGCGGTTGCTGCTATGTGACAGCTGTCGCCTAAGGGTTCCAGATGCCGTTAGAATTGTGACTAAATATTTCTGATCAAAATTTATCCCTATCTTGAGGGTAAAACGATTTGTGCTAAAAGTAAAGTCACAGCCCAATTTGTGCCTTAACCTTCCGCAGAGACTGTATGTGCCTTCAAAAGTGGAGTTTGGGGTCGGCCGTTTCTATTGGAATTAATCCCATATGTTCTGTTGTTCACTTTATCCATGATTTCACTTAACGCGGGACCCTCTGGGTTCAATTGACCGCGTTAAGTGGGGTACAACTGTATATTCTTTTTGGTTAACATTAGGTTATATCAACAGGTATCAGTCTTGGAGTGCAGCATGTTAAACCTGCAGATGAAGGAGAGTACACCTGCCGTGCCCAGAACGCTGCAGGTCTGCAGGAAGCTGCAGCAAGTCTTTATGTTCGTGAAAAGGTAAATAAGAAAGACATTAGTTTATCATTTATGTTCTTGTCATAATACTTGATTTGTTTAGAATTACTTATTATAAACAGATGTTTACAGGCTATCCCACCCCCCTGCTCCCCACTGTGAGGTTGGGTGGCCAGAATCAAGAACAAACTTTTCATTCTTACTGTAGAAACAAATATTTAGTTTTTAATTTTAAGTGTAATAATTCTTTAGATCATTATGAAGCTTTTCATTGAGAGATATGTTATGTATATTTAACCAGATGCAGTGGAGGTACAGACCCTCAGATTCAGGATCCTTGAGATCAACACTGAACTTGTTTTGAAGATTTTCCAGCAAGTTCCAGCCCCAAGTCAATGACAGTATGTTACCCCAGCGACCAGGAGACCACTCAAGGTTTGCATCCACACATAAACTCAGTTGAATGTTGGTTTTACTTTAAAATGACAAAGTAAAGAAAACATTACTGTATACTGTACATATTCCAAATTAGAAAATTTGGGTTAATTTAGAAGTTGAAGGTTCCCTAAAGGCAAGTTAAATGGGTTTGTTGGTGTTCCAGCAGCTTTTAAGTTGCATCATGTGCCAGAAGTATAGAATTAAAAAATACTTATACTGTACAGTACTGTAATTATTGTCTAATTGAATAAATAGCACAATACAGTACCTTAATAATATTTATTTTATATTAACTACATCATTAATATATCATTACTGTTTTTACATATCTTTTGAAGTTAATTTGGGTCAAATTAAACTGAAGATTTGAGGTAACTTATTCCAGATGCTGCTCCTTGTCACTTGGTCCATGTGACAACGTGAAGCCTCTGGCATAAGTTACTTTGAGTCTTTGGTTTGCAGTCAACATTGTTTTCTTCATTTTGTTATTTAAGAAGTAAAACAAACATTCAAATGAGTGTGTGAGTGCGTGGAAGCAAATTCTAAATCCTGGATGCTGAAGAAAATATCCCTCGGTTTCAATATCTGGTTTTTAAGATCCAGCTTCTCGGTGGGTCTGTATCTGTACTGGGAATGAGTTCACTAATTACTGCAGAAATGTACAAAGGTCTTATCTTTATTAGAGTCACACGGTCATTTGGTGTGTGCATCTTGCCAGGTAGCTCCTGTGATTCGTGAAGAAACCAAGAGACGTGGTCGGTAGTTAGGTGGCCAAGAAGTCATTGTATTACTCAAAGGCTGATGGCCCACTCAAGACCTGTGGATTAGCTGGCGTAAAGATGGTCACACTATGGAGACTGATGACAAGCACAGGTGAGCTTATATGTTATTAGGAATATGTTCCATGTGTATTTCTTAGAGATCACAACAATCATTAGGTATGTAGGGGATCAAAATGTCAGACCAGTTTCTGTAGTTTTATAGTGTAACTCAGCGGGAATCTGTTGTCACCACGCCACGTAAAGTGGCTAAGGCCGCTATTTATCTTCTTTACTTTTTTTCCACCCCAACCTCTCCTCCCCCCTACTTTATACTGTACATACATCCTCTACACACTGCAGATATATTGTCCATTCTGCTGTGTACTGTACAGTGCTCTACTTCACTTCCACACCCTACTGAATGTAGGGGGGGGAACAGGTTCTCAAAATGACCGTGAATTCACTTAATAACATTTTGCTGACCAGAGAGGGGGGTTCATTTTTTACTTGTGTACAAAGAAATATATATTCCCTTGATATGTTTGCCCTTAGGACAATTATATCTTTTACCTGTATTGTATATATACTGTATGTTTGTGTGTGTAGACACACACATATTAACAAAACACATACAAATAAATGATCAGGAAAATGCTCACAAATAATCAGAACAAATTATTAAAAAATGTGACAGTCTACCTTCAAGTCTACTCCGGCTTATTAATATCACCATCAAACCAGGGGCAAAAAGTCATTTATATCAATCTGTACCAGTACAGTAATTAATAAGCTTCTGTTTAATGACCCTTCGAGGTTGCAGGATAAGAGAGGGTCTACTTGCATATGTATCCAGTGTTTTAACATTTGATTTTTCTCCCAAGAATTGAGAGTGATGGTTCATTGTTCGTATACAACGTAACCCAAGATGATGCCGGGATGTATGAATGTAGTGCCCAGAACCCTGTTGGATATGACACTGCCAATGCTAGAGTAACAGTACAGGGTAAGGTGTTCCTATGTTTTGGTCTGGATGAGATAATTAGTCCTTTTTTCTACATTCACCAGAAAAATATAACATAAAATATGGGTTTTAAATGTTTCTCTTTGAATACTGTAGTCTGTGAGATTCATAAGGCAAATTGTGGTGACAAATATTGTTCCACATTCCCAACCTCACTCCTTCTTTGTGACATAATCATTTTGGATTAATATTTTCTTTCCAGAAATCAAACTCAATCATACCTATTTTGGGTCTTTATAATTTTAAAACAAATGACAACTTTACCTATGCTTTTCAAGATTTCTTAGGAGGTCGAGACCATCACCAATCTGATTAGGTTCATCAATCCTGTCAGGATTGATGGAAGTGATACAGCACTGTACTGCTGTACCTAATTTGTTTCAAAGTTCTGAATTTTGTAAAGATGACATGGTCAGTGGAGGCAATTCTTGTTATTTTTAGTTCAGTAATATATTAACTGGAAGTAAGTAGTGAAGTTTAACAGATAGCAAACAACTCTAGCCTCTGTATAATTTATTATCTTGATAGAGACAAGTTTGGGAGGAGCAGATGGCAGTCCTCACACTTGTATTAAACTCTTGAGTTATTAGAAATTGACATCTTGCGATAAGTGTTCCTGAAGCACTTACATTTGATGATACCAAGAAGGGGATTATGTTTTTATGATATTTAGAAAACAGTTTTGAGGATGGCAATCAGGCATTCTCTATTTTCCTTTACTGTACTGGGTACACCAGTTCTACAACTCAGTCTTAGTGACATCTCTTACTAACACTTAATTATTTTGTTAGGAAAGAGTTCCATAAAGGATAGCGCTCTCTGTAGTGTGTTTTGAGGTACTGTATTGGAAAATTTATCAAGAAAATATTTCACTTGTTTAATCTGACCAATATTATTACTATAATAATAATAATAATAATAACATTAATAATAGTAATAATAATATTCAAAACAAAAACAATAATAATAATAATATTATTAATTTTTTTGTTTTCTAAAAGCACCAGTTATTCAGAAGAATCTACTATGTTAATTCTAAACACTACAAAGTCAAGGACCTGAGAATAAAAAAAAATACTACAAAAAAAGTCACAAAAGGTGACAGTTCATAATCCTTAAATTGTAACATTTCCTAAACCCTGTAGTTTTTTATCACTTTATCCTCTTCAGAATCCTAAGTTTTTAAAAAAGAAAGTTTTTAAGTTTTTTTCTTAAAGGCTTCCACAGAAATCAGCTACTTCATGGATGCAGGTGTTAAAAGTTAGCTAGTTAACTTAATGTCGGGTCCATCCATAGAGGCCAACTCGTAACAAAAGTAAGGTAATTTAATAAAGATTCCAGGGGTAAAGGGTGAACATTATACAAAGGAGGAGTTTTTATTATTTAATAACAATAATAACTAATTATAAAGACAGATCCTAACCACTAACCCTTCACCAGTCCCAGAGTTTTTAATAATAAAAACTAATAATAAAGACAAATTCTAACCACAACCCTTACACCAGTGCCCAAGTTAAACATATAAATATCCTAACTAGATACAAACTAAAACATCTACTTCTCTTGGCGATGAATGTTATGGGACGTGGGATGATCAAGGCGGTCACTTGAAGCGCAGGAACCCGGGGAAGGTAGAGGTCCTGCGGGCGAGCCACTGTGAACTGCCTTTCAGGGCGAGATCCAGGCCCCTCGTCACCTTGGTGGTTCATGGGAGAGGCTAGAGTGTTGTGGTAGAGGTTAGGGAGACATGGCAGTGTTGTTATTGTGGCTTCTGACTCTTGCTCCAACGTCGTGATGCGGCAAGGTTGTGTTGTTACCGTCCCCCAGTTGGAATTGACCCAGGCGGAGGGATGTGACACAGGCAACTGATTTTACAATCTGGGAGTTGTATAAGAAATGGATCGGGCAGCAAAAGAACATTCCTGTACTGTTCAAGGCTCCTCAGGGCATGAGAGATGATCACTACTACAACGCAAAATCATTTCAGAACTTATGGTCAGAGTATTTAGTAGGTCGGCCACATTCTACGATCATTACCTTTTTAAATGATAAAACAATAAAAAATAAGTAAGAAAAACTATATATTGACCCTCTAGAAACTTCCCTGTAGCCACAGAGGTGAGGGAGATAAGGGGACAGCTTATGTCGACGGCTAGCGCTCGTGGTCACTATCCACTTAGCGGCCATTTTCTGCTTGCCTTTGTGTCCAGGATGGCCAATAATTTAATGCATATATTTACTAATAATGGTTATTTCCTATTATATAAATAATTAATTTTGAACTTATTTTATTTGCATTATTTTTCTTAAGTGCTCGGCGACACACACGCAGTCTGTCGCTAGGCTGTCTGGCGTCTCTTTGTGTTTGGTAGAGCAAGTAATGCATATAAATAATTATCGGAATAATAATTCCACAAATAAGTACATTTATAACATAATCATAGCATTATTTAACAGTAATACTACACTACAATACAACTACACTACTTTTAGAGTGAGAGGTTGAGGGACAACTCTCTCTTTATGGCGACAGGCTAATGCGTACTAACTACACTGAGCCCACCAATGCTACCCTGCGTGTGGCGTGACCACCAAATAGTCATGCTGGAACCTTATAACCTGCACTGGGCATTCAAACAATGGCGCGAAAAGGTGTGCGTTCCGGAACGTCAACCGGGGCGCCCTAGATGAATGTTCCGGAACATCAACCTGGGCTTAGGGGTTAAAAGTCATTAAGCAGAGTTTGAACTCTATCCTAGCTTTAACTGGAAGTCAATGCATTTCGATCATGAATAGGGTAGTGGAAGCCTCAGTAGGTGAGTATAAATAATCCTGGCAACCCTATTCAACACTGTCTGAACTTTCTTCAGTAAAGAATTAAGTAGGCAGACCCATAAAGAGTTAGAATAGTCAACCCAAGACAAGTTAAGTGAATGTAATAGTGTCACAAAACCTGTCTTTCCAAAAACTGTTTAATACCATATACAGTAGATTTCAAATATGAAAGTTGGAACTCTTAATCACTGGAGTTATACAGTATGCTTTTTAAAATTGAGTTTTGAGTCAAATTACACTCCAAAATTACAAATAGAATCGACAGAACCAAGTTGTACTTCTCCAAAGTTTAAAGAACCAAAATCATCTGTGCTGTCGCCCCTCCTAGCCACTCAAATTTTAAGATCAGACATCAAGGATTTCATCATCATCTCATTATCCTCAACATTTATCATTTGCGCATAAAGCTGTGTATCAGCAGCATAAAAATGGTAGGCAACACCATGAGCATTCAGCAGAGATGCAAGACTACTGGTATAGACTGTAAAAGAAGTGGTCCCAAAACTGATCCCTGTAGGACTCCAAACTGCAAAGGAACCGGATCTGAAATGGTCCCACCAACCATCACACGTCGAGATCCTGAAGTAACAGATGATGATCCACCATGTCAAAGGTTGCAAAGAGATCAAGCAAGACCAAGAGGAAGGACTTTCCCATGCAAGTGTTTATTACTGTACCAAACCATTATGAATTTTACATAAGGCAGTTTCAGCTGAATGATGCTTCCTATAGGCTGACTGGACCAGAGGGATCAATCTATTTCTCTTTGGTAGATGAAGTAACTGATTGAGCATAGCACACACTACAATCTTTGATAAGAATGAAAGATTGGAGACCAGATGATAATTTGACATATTTTCAGTATCAAGACCAGGTTTCTTAAAAGTGGGCACAATAAAGCCTATTTCTCAGATTACAGAAACTCACCCTCTGCAAAGCATTTATTTTATGATGTACAAATAAAGGCTGCAACATGTTCATGAGCAAGTGATACCTTAGATACATTTATAGGATCAAAACAAGAAAAATCTTCCTTGAATCCTTGGTATAGTGCAGAATGTTGTTCACCCCTACATTACAAAATGATGAAAGAGTGAGTTTTATGGTGTAACTCGGTTGAAATTCAATTAAAAATTCATCATTCTAAGAAACATGATCAAGATATCTTTGTCATAAAAAACAAGGAAAAGTCTGAGGCAAGCTGAGCATCTGAAGTGAAAGAAGGCATAGTAGTTCCAGACCTCTGGCTCAACAGCCCATTCACAACTGCATAAAAAGTTTTCTGATCACTACCACAAGAGGCTACTTGACTTCTGTAGTAGTCAACTTTGCATGCCCTTGTTGAACAAACACATCCCTACGCTCAGTCATATACTCTGATATAGTATAGTTTGTTCGCTGCTTGCGCCACTCATTTAATATTTCTATGACCTCTATGAAGAGAATTTACAATTATATGAGTCATACCAAGGAGAGTCATCTCGTACTGTAATGCTCTTCACGACCTCTTGACAATAACGGTTTGAAATGAACTGGAAGACATCATTATGTAATTTAGTCATCTCCTCAGAGGACAAATCAAAGGACTTGACCCAATTCAAAGAATGATTGACTTCCTGATCAATCCTGGTCTGGTCAATGTTTCTGTAGTTCTTGAAGATAATTATTTTACTGTAAGATGGGGGTCTTGGGGCATTAAAAGAAATGTAATCAAAGCATGGTCTGAGACTGCTGGATCGATCAGGTCAACTTCAACGTCTAATACACGATCATAGTCAGTAGGAGACAAAAGTAGGTCTAGAGTGTGTCCAGAAAGATGCGTTAGACACAACACATGATTGACAAAATTGTTTAGATTGATAATTTCCAAGAACTCAAAGGAAAAAGGTTTCAGAGACGGGTTGTCATCAGATTAATGAAAGTCACCACAGATCAACCATCATCTGTTCTTTCCTGAGAAGTCTCAAGAAACAAGTCAAATTCATCCATGAATTCCCTATCTGTACCTGGGTGACCTGGATGATACACAACAGCAACTCTAATAACTTGGTGATGAAGTTTATTAATACCTTCAAAAATTCAAAGGAGCAAAAAAACATTCACTACTAATCAGTCTTATGTTGAGCAGAGCTACAGAGCATATCAGTGCCACTCTGCCACCCGAAGCTCTTGCAGAGGTCTGGGAACATAACGAGAGAATGTGGCCGCAGAAATACTAATATGAGAAAAATAAAGGTTACCATTTCACTCATTGATGGGTCATGTGTTTGTCTCATCTATGGACATCTGCATCATATATTTGAGCTCCACATTTTTTTATGAGCTCAATTACCAGGTGTCAATGAATTCACAACATTATGATTTATCTGTCATCTCTCTGTATCTTCTTACATTATACTTCACTATGTGTATGTGAATGAAGCTTTGGTCTTAATGAAAGAAAAACTTGCACTTCTTATTTTTATAAATTCACATTCCATTATTTATTATTATTTTTTTATTTTTGTTTGTGTTTTTGCAGAAGACCCAAGACCTCATGTTGGAGACCAGTTCTTACATCAGAGTTTTGAGGAAGCTCGTGATCAGGTTAACAGAGCTGTCAATGATACCATCAGGTTTGTTGTAGTTTCACTTACTTTAATAATTTTATTTGACTAAGGGTGAGGAGATCTTGTGCAGTGCCCTTGTATCATTGTCCAATGTGGTTTATCTGTTCATTAGCATATAAATTAAAAGGATCTAAATTTATTTTAATCACAGTTGGCATAATCATTCTCTGAATCAAGAGTCTAATAATAGAATTTCTCCTTGCATATAGATGGAAAAAAAATACATTTATAACCAGGCGCTGGTTCCAAGGAGACTTGTCTATTGTAGCCATCATGTCTGTGGGTCCTGGCCCAGGCCCTAGCTGCAACTTTGATGGCTGCCATTAATTAAACATTCAGTACATGACATATATGGGAAAACTCGGCAAGGCCAGAGCCCCATATCTGCTGAGTTATCAAGGGTTTACTGTACTGATAAAGTTTTCCATGTCTTTCTCAACTACAGTATATTAGTTAAGGGGCTTGTGTGTGAGCTGCAATTCCTTTCATAGATAACATAGATGGTGAATATTAACTGGTGTACTTTTATTAAATTGATATCTGTGTTGTACAGTGACATGAAATCCTAAACTTACCTTTACTGTACTGATTTTTATTTTATTCTTCTTTGTGGATTCTACACCCTTTGATCTAATGTATATACTGTAGGGGTAAGAGTACCAGTAATTAGTATTTATTGTTATGCCTCTTAGGATGGTGCATTGTTTTACTTTCCAGCCAGTTATTCCAGCGAGACAGAAGCCGTACACCACATCCTCACGAGTTGCTGCGTATTTTCCGTTTCCCTTCTTCTGAAGGACGGGAGATAGCGAGAGCTACAGAAATGATAGAACAGACTCTGAATATTGTAATGCGACATGTGGAATCAGGCATGGTGTTCAACCTGACAAGTGAGTTTGAACTGAAATTCTTTTGTACAAATCCAAAATTATTGAAAGGAATTAGTTAAATACTGATAGATAACAGCTGTATAGCTAGAGACATAACTTGGTATTTGTTTGGTTATAGTTATGCTTCCAAAAAGAAGCATTTAGTTGGCACTTTGTCTGTCCTCCCATCCTGTATTTCAGTCTCCCTCTCTAACTTTCGAAGTGTTGAGGGAAATTTTTATGATGATATTTAGGAAGAGTAATGTTACTGGACAGGTTCACAAACAACTGCAAGCCCCTATCATGAAAGTTAATATCCCACTTTGGGGTCAAAGTTCAAAAGTGAGTACTGTACAGTAGTACTATAGTATACCATGATAACTCAGATGAACTGAGTGGAAGGAGTCTAAAGGATGCAATGCGAGTGTTTTCTCACTGGGAAGCTACTGTACTGTACTGTACATTTTTTAAACGTGCAAATAGCAACAGTACCGTGCTATATTGCTTATTAAGCCTTTCTTAGTTGAATATATAATCATTCAAGAGATAAGATAGAAAATATAAATATTGTTGTACATTTAAAGTGAGCTAAAATAGGAAAATGTGAACAGAATGAGGGCAATGTTATACAGTTATGAAAGAACCTATCTTTTTATTTATTTATTTATTTTTACTAATGTTGTGTTCTTCTTTGAATATTACTCAGAGGAATTACCATCATTTGACTGTAAACTTGTAAACTTATTGGTCTTGTCTTAAGTTCCAATGATATCGATGAGTTTGTCCTCTGATGAGATGCACTTTCACTGCACTGACATGGTCAGTGATTCCTATTTTTTTATTTTTTTATTTATTTTTTTATTTTTTTATTTTTTTTATTTTTTTTTCATTACCCTCAGCTTACTTTCCTGGCAGGACTTTAAACTATTACTGCCATTAGTACTAACCATTATTGCTTGATCTGATCATCAATAGAAGGATATTGGTGATAAAATACCCAGCATACCACTGATTAATTATCCATACAAAATGTGCACAGAGTAGGTTTAAGATTTCCAGAATTATGAGATATTGAAATCTGTCCTGTGGAGGTTATATTGTCCAGTATTTTCCTCTGATCTGGGAGCATCCATTCTTCTTACCTACCATAGAAAAGGGTTGTTTTCTCAAAAGGACAGTGTTCCTTCTCTAGGCCTCCCATCTCTTGTTCATGATACTCTCTCAAACAATACTTACTCTGTAAACAGTTCACTTTTCCTGCATCACATCTTTTCCCTATATGAACCTCTTTTTCCTCATCTGCTTGAGCACTTCTTTTTTATTTTATTTTTTATTTTACAGTGGAAACAAAGTCACTTGCTTTATATGTTTGGCAGTCAAGTCAAAGTGCAGAGTTAGTAGAATTTTTTGTAATGATACTTTGGAATCTTGGCTTTTCATTCTCAAATACTAATATCAACATGTGTTCAAAAATATCTATATATTGTATCACACTCATAGCAAGTTGAGAAGATTTATTTGCACTTTTAGGTACAGTATAGGAATTTTTATCTTATATTATACAATTAGCAAATTCATTTTACAGTTTATTACAGTACAGTACTGTATTATATAAGTATTTTGTGGAGGTATGGCAGATAAACTCACCTTGCTGCACTCTTGGCAGCGTTCAGCTACCAGGACCTTCTTTCTCCTGAAAAGTTGTTTTTGCTGACAAATCTCTCTGGATGCTTGGCTCACCGACGTAGTGTCTACTGTGATGACATGTGCTTCCATGCAAAGTACCGCACCATAGATGGCACCTGCAATAACTTACGCAAACCTCTGTGGGGCTCCTCACTCACGGGCTTCAGACGTATTCTAAGTCCAATTTATGAAAATGGATTTAATACACCTATTGGTAAGTGTCATGTCACATATATTTAAAGTTGAAAATTATTTTTATACGTGTGTTCTTTTAAGTTATATTTGTTAAGTGCACAAAAATTATTAGTATCTTAAGTTGAATTAATTCAGTTTTATAGGAATGTAGTAAGTGAGGTTACATTAGCTTGAACTTGTTTATATTACAGATAATTGTAAAGTTTACTTGTATTTCTAAACCATTAGTATTTAAAGTACAACTTGGGAGGAAAGTTACTTATGATAATGATGCCTAAAAGATTTGTTTCAAATTAGAGAGTAATGACATATAGTATTTTCACGGCATGAAAACTGTTTAAAGTATAACCACTTTTTCAGAATTTTTATGTAAAATGTGAGTTCTTTCCTAAGGTATTGGATGTGCTTGGTTAGTGGACACTGTCACCTTAGACATTACCTTTGAAGTGGCAGCCAAGATCATAGGCTTCAAATGTTGCCTTCTCTTAACCCTTAGGCCCTGGGTGACGTTCCAGAACGTCCGCCTATTCCCACATTTTTTATTTACTTTTGGAAAAATAGATTATTTCTTGATTTATCCCCGTGGGGAAGGGGGTGGGTACTGCTGGCTAACTCAGATAATTTTATTGAGCTCGGAGGTAACCTTCTACTATACACAAGGGATTAAGGCCTGTTAGGCCTCTTGTTATTATTGGGCACATGAGGCCCAATTTGGAAAATATTTTCATATACAGTTAGCCTTTGCTATTCAAGGGGGGTTATGTTCCACGGACCATGCGTATTGTCAAAATCAGGGAATATTATTAGCAACCATAATACAGTCTCTCCTCGACTTATGACGGGGTTCCGTCCAGACGACTAAGTCGAAAAGGCGGAAATAATACATAGAAATTCTAAAATGAAATACAGTACAGTAAAAGTAATCAATAATGAAAAATGAATAAAGTGTTGCTGTACACTTACCTTTATTGTAATCAGCTGAATGCACATGGGGCCTCAATCATTTTTTAATTAAGCAAGTAGACTATATTAATTGGATGAAGCAGAGGAGGAGACAGGGCTGGGTGGGTCATCAAGTTCGCTTTCTTCAAACAGGCTAACATACTTGCTTGTTGAAGGTATTGGATCATCTTCAGGGAGTGAAATGCAGCAGTAGTGGGGACTCGAAGATACGTAATGTGAAGAATACTTTATACGACCATGACCGTCGTATGTCCGGGTTGTCGTAAGTCGAATATGTCGTTCAGTCGAGGAGAGACTGTATTGTATGTTTAAAGATACTCGAGTCACCCATAAACACACCCATGTGTTGTTTCCATATAATAAACCTAGATACCTCCATCTGGTTACCAAAAAGTTAATTTCCATTTTATGCTGTAAAAGCTAGATAATGATGTCTAAAATCATGTGAAATGGTAAGTAGCAACTCGAGTCTTATGTTCTGAATCGTAGGAATTGTTGTGTAGCGTCTCCGATTCCATGGGAACCAACTCTGGTATTTTAAATCCAACGTTGCCATGATCTCTGCGTGACCTGGGAGACATATCTCACTGAATTTATTTTATACCACTTTTTTTTTTTTTTCCACCTTTTTTTATACTAGACTTGTGATTATATAATACTGGATAGGTAGGTGAATAGAAAAATTTAATTCAGACATAATCATTATTTTTTATTTACTAGCATGTGGCAATTCTAAATAGAATGCAGCTTATAGAGAGGCCTCTGCTCCAACGCAAACATGCTGCTGTGAGTTTCAGACATCACTTACATAAAACAAATTTTACTATTTATTGTACTCAAATATATAGATATTATTCACTGAGGCACTTTTTAGGAGTCAACACATAACATATGCTATTGTGTAAGGCACAAATTTGTATGGTACAGTTTTATAACAAATACGCTGTCACAGTGCCTCTACCCTAAAATAATGAGATTTTTTTTATCTGTATTAGCCCACCTGGGCACAGGTCACTGACCCACATCTGGGCCTAGAGGGGTGGGGGGGTCATATAATTAACAATAATAATAAATAATAATAATACTAATAATAACAATAACCATAAATGCAAAAATGAAAAAAAAAATCAAGTATGAGAGATGGTATAGAGTATGTATGTTGTGTTGTTAAGAGTAAGAGAAACAATTGAGTCCCTGCAATTGTGTGTAAATGAGGCAGAAAGTTAGATCAGCAACCTAGGACTTGGTCACAATTTTTGTGATGCCATATGACAGCAGGGTCTACCATTAGACAACGCATTATACTTCCAATATCTTCCTTGCTTGATAGCTGTGTACTACCTACATATATTTACATATATATATACACTATTTAAAAAAGTCTTTCCTGTGTCTTAGTACTTTTGAAGGGTGTGGTATTGTTGGAAGCATGGGCTCGAGCACAGAGCAACGTCACACTGATTACACTGATAGCAAGTGTCTTTACATACTTTGGCTCGGATTTTACTCGTATGGCATACATGACATTTTTTCTGGGAATACTTTATTGCTTTGCTCTATTGGAAGGATTCACTGAAGGGAAATGTCAAGAAGTCAGTTGCAAATGGGAGCTCGATCAGTACCGACAACAACGACAGCCAAACACCAACTGAGCGTGCTACGGCATGGACGCTGTACACCACGCGGCGACCCAGCCCACACGACGCTCTTGTACGGGACGGAAACGTTTCGGTCCAAGAAAATACGCACGGAGTTTGAAAAAAATTTGGTACGACTGAGGCGGTCATATGTCCGGATGGTCGTATGTCGAGTAGGCCGTAAGTCGAGGACTACCTGTACTGTAATGTAGTATTAACCCGGCACCAAATAAACCTAAATAATATGGGGATTATGGCGAAATTGAATACTGTCGTTAGGAAAGGATTGTGGTTGACAAAGGGAGAGAGTTGTTGCCCCAGTCCCACCAGCACTCCCTTCCACCAGCCCCACCGACTATCCCTGACTACAGTATATTGTATTTTATTCATATTTATGCATCATATTCGGATATACACAGACTTGATATGAAACAGTGGGTGATGCAGATGGCATATATGTGAAACCAATGATATAAAATGAGAATATATTCTTATATTTGTTATCAACATAAATGTGAAATGACATACATCAGTAGAACATGCAATGAAGACCCCTTGTATAGGGAAATAGAGGATGACAATAGAGTGAGAGAGAAAGAAAAGAATAGAATGTTTCAGGTTCAGTGGAGAAATGATGGAGGATATATATTAATGAATAAATGAATGAGAGTTTGGCAGTAACTAATCTGAGGAATAATGCAGCAACACTCCTCTTCACTGTGTGTCTTTATCCACTTCATTCATATCACTACTTACGGTCTTTTTCCCCTCCTCCTTTTTCTTGATAATTGATAGAAACATACTACCTATCACTTTCACTGAGAGCACCACACTCAAAAAAAAAAAATACTCTGGCGAGGATTAGTGGAGAGAGAAGAATAATACAACACTGTGCACCATATAGTTATACGGTGCACAGTGCTGAACACATTAGGGTGCCTGGAGGGTAGGGAACTGTACCGGGGGAGAGGGTGGTAAAAGAGGGGAATGCTGAAATACAACAATTACTTGAATAAGTATCGGTCATAGGCCTTGGATACCCAGACATGAGCAGAGGTATATTTCATTTGGGTGTCACCCCCAGCCTGTATGGGCAAGTAGAAGCGCAATTGGACACACAAAATTACACAAGCCACAAAATCAGAACCTAGCCTTCTCCCTTTAACTTAAAGAAAAGGAAGAATGCATGTACGTATTCACTCAGGAAGGGGTTAATCTATACTTTAATCCAGACTGAACACCTTCATTAAAGTGGATTATTCCTGTATTATAAGACAAAACCTGAAACTTGTAGCATTTATGCAGTCATGTGAGGTCATAGGACTGACTGTACCAGACTGCATTGCTGGGCTTTTGGTCTTAGAGAAATTGATTTTCAGTTACCTTTCTGTGGAGCAAGTCCTTAAAATATTTTTTTTGTGGGTTGGCATTAGGAAGGGCATCCAGCTGGAAAACTTTACTTCAACATGCCTGATGGCAACCAGGTCACCAGAGCTGTGCCCATCCCCTGGTCTCTGCTGCATTTTCTGGGCTGGTGCCCTGGCGACATCCTACTCTGGTTTTACCCAACAGCTGCCATCAGGTAATCGCAGCCGACCCATGCAAGCGTGGAAAATTACCATAAAGCATTAATCATGATGATGTAGAGAGCCCTTGCCATTATCTCAGACCTTCATCTATGGTTATCATCAGAAGACTTTGCCTAATACAGTGACCCCTCGGTTAACGAACTCAATCCGTTCCAGAAGGTTGTTCGTTAACCGAAAAGTTCGTTAACCGAAACCATTGTTTCAATGGGTTTTTGGGTAATTGGTTCCAGCTCACCGAAAATTTCCTAAATTCAACAAAAATGGTAGAAAAGTTCACTTACTTTGAGGTGTGTATGTAGAAGGCTCCTGGATGATGATGATGATGATGATGATGATGAGGGGATTTAGAATGGGGGTGGAGGAGAAGGAAGAAGAGAAGGCATTGGGGTGGAAGAGAAGTCACCCCATGGCGCCATTTCACCCATAAAATTTTAGCTCTCTTGGTGTAATTCAAAATTATTTTCTTTAAATCAACACTGCACTGCATTATATATTGTCAATGTAAAATATATTTCAAAATGACCAATAATTTGCTTGGAAACACAGAAAAAAAGCGTTTAGTTGAAGAGAGTCTCAAGCAAGATGTTACCTACAGTGAAAACAGAGAGAGACTAACGCCTGTTTGCTGTGTTAAGAGGCTGGATGCCGCGCATTAAACTAGTCACTTTACCTTCAATTATGTTCAATAATTGTTAAAATGACTAAAAAATTGAATATTAAACTTTTAAAATTATTGAATAGTGTAAACTTCTTGATATTTACTAAAATAGTAAGGAATTTAAGCCCTAGAACCGATTAATGTATTGGCGGACTGATACTAAAGCTGGTTGCCCGGTCAGTGCAAGCGAAAACATGTTGAGGTCTGTTCGTAAGAAATTCGTTAACCGAATTTTTGTTCGTTAACCGAATTGAAGATCCTTATGGAAGGCAGTTCGTTAACCGAAATTTCGTTAACCGAGGCGTTCGTTAAACGAGGGGTCACTGTATAGACTGTGTGGTCCAGGAAAGTATGTGAAATTACTACTAAACCTTAGAAACAAAAGTTGTGGTTTGATGAATGAAACTTTCTTGGTAGGTTGCTATCAAAAGACTGTATGTAATTTATTCCTCCTCCCCCTCCCTTTCTCTTGTTCTTTTGGGAAAATGTGATTCACTAAAGTTTGTGACTAGAAAAGGGGATTGATTGCTGAAATCCATATTTGCATATTTGTGAATGAGGATAACAAACAAGTAACTCGGTTTCCCTTCCTCCTAAATTTGTGGAGAGGCTGAGTAAATAGAAATGAACATAGATTGGCTATTTTATATTTTTATGGACAGGTATTTGCAGATACACAGATCCAGATCAAAGGGTCACACATCCATGATAGACTCTGAAACAACCACCTTATCAATGACTGTCTTTGAGGTTTAGGTAATATACTGTACTGGGCGAGTAGTCATTTTATTATCATTTTATCTTTTCCTTTTTTTCCTTTCCAGGACTACCTAACACTGACTCATTAATAAATGAATGAAATGTGGCTGGAAACACGACTCACTTGTCTGTAGTTCTTGACCACAGAATGAGTTTTACAATTCAATCTCCCATTTCTTTTCTTTATCTATAGGTTGGTCAAAAACAAAACGATACCATGGGTTCTTCAAGCCCAGTGCAAGATTGGTTTCATCACGAATTATCAGCACAGAGGAGGTGTCACCAGATCACCATTGTACACATATGCTGATGCAGTGGGGACAGTTTCTTGACCATGATATAGACCACGCTCTTCCATCTATATCTTCAGAAAGTTTTCATGATGGAGAAAGTTGTCAGAGGTAAGTAATTTAAAATTCAACAACTGTCAGCTGCATTATTGTTATTTGTCAACTTGCAATTTCAGGTAGATACTCTTTTTTTCTTCTGCTTCTTTACTGTGTTACATGCAGACAGTCATTCATACAGAATATGCACAAAAAAGTAATTATCAAAACAAATACCTAAAGGGAATACAAATTTCTTATGTGTGTGGGACTTCCTTAAGCCCCGGGTTAGGGTGCTGCTGGCAGTACCCCCCTGCAGGGATAAATTGAGAAAAACAAACATAAGTTTTTCCAAAAATAATTAAAATAATAATAATAAAAAAAAAATGTCGGGAAAATAGGCGGACGTTCTGGAACGTCACCCAGGGCGCGCTAGTCGGACGTTCTGGAACGTCACCCGGGGCCTAAGGGTTAACACACACAGCGGGGTAGGGGGAGAAAGTCATGGGGGATCTCGGCTCGCTGTCTCGTGCGTAGTGACAAGATTGCCAAATGGCAAGGCAGTATTTTTTTTTTCTCATTTATTATTATTTGTATTTATTCCTCACATTTACTGCTACAGTATATATTATTTTATGTACAGTCCCAGTTAAAAGTCCAGTGCCAGGCAGTTTTGGCTAACCTGGTTATGTGATAACGTCGGATACATGCACACATGAACTCACATGATAGAACTTCTGGGCCAATGGTTTAAAGGGTGCATTTGGTGCCTAGATTGCCATGTTGCCAGCAATGTCCGGAACAAACCAATGAATACCATTAATAATTACTTCGAACTAAATTGAATGATGAGAACCAATGTAATTACGAGAACAGGTGAAATGCCTTCCACACACACACACACACACACACACACACACACACACACACACACACACACACCGTCTGCTAGACACCTCGATCATGTGAACAATCCATTCTGTGGTGTGTCTATGTACACATCCTCTATGAACTACACCATGTATCAGTGATGAGTTGTCTTATGTGAGTGTCAGGAGGATAGGTGTAAAGAATGCTGCATAAATATAAAATTAATTTCAAGCCATAGCCCACACTGTAGAAATTGGTCCAGCCTCCACATGTTTACGGTCACGTGGCCACTCCTGGCTTCTTGATAAACATGCTGCCGGTTGTAACGGGTGTTGTCAGGTCTCCAGCAGTGAAGATGGCCGTCGTTGCCCTGAAGTCCAGGTCCTCCCCACATACTGATGAGTGAACTGTAGTCTCCCAACCTGGTGGTGTTCTTCTAACCTTTCCCAGACAGTAGAGACCATGTGGTAGATCCCAATTCCATGGGGTCATCACCTAACTGTACTAGCCGAGACCTCCAAGTGCAGCCGCTCCATCGTGGCCGGCGCATTGGTGAAAGGATGGTCGTGAATGTCTGCCACAATCCTAGCGTCATCTGCTGCGCTGGTCAGTCTAGGCCGTCCTCATCTGGGAAGATCTGTTAAATTACCAGACACTTCAAACCGCTGTATCAAACACCGCACTGTCGATCTTGAGACTCCCATCTGCCTTGCAATCTTGCTGATACTTAACCCAGAGTTGCTCATGCCAACGAATTTCCCTCTGGAAGGTATCGTGGTGTTGGTATCCCATGGTTGTAGTTGGTGAAATGACTGAACGGTTGCTGTATAACCACGTTATAACCTCAGGTAAGTTGAAGGTTGTGGTGAATGGCATTAATTGTCCCTAGAAACGTTATTTCCATATTACAATCTACTATTATGTGCAATGATACTGGCATCATTAATAACTTCAATAAGAGAGGGATAATATACCCACCACCACCAGTCTCCATTATGAACCTTTCTACTATGAATATAGTGTTTTATATAATATCTGTCCTCCCAGCACTCACATAAGAGAAATATTATCACCAATAAGTGGTGTAGTTTAAAGTGGAGGAGCACATAGACACACACTAAAATGGATTACTCCCATAATTCAGGTGTGTAGCAGACACAATGTGCATTTTATTATTAAAAGTGTGTTTGTAACATAAGTAATTTATTTCTCCTAAGACATTACATACATACAAGTATTACATTAAAACTCGAAAGTATTTTTGTGATAGACATGAGTTATCGAGGCAATGTGTTTCAGTTACTGACTGACAGTGGCCAATATCACTGGTAATGTTACTTTAAAAGGAATACGGAAAAAAAGACTCCCATTTTACCACTGATCAGTGATAAATTGTGTAATTCATAGAGGAAATTCACATAGAGACGCCATATAATGGATTGCTCAGTGCTCACGTAATTGGGGTTTCTGTCAAACGCCATTTGTGTTAGTGCATTTATGTCTCTGACGTTGCCACATAACTGGACTAGCCAAAACTGCCTGGCACAGGACTTTTGGTCGGCACTGTACAAATGTTAGCTTCTTTCACACACAAACCATCCTGTGGGCGACGTGACACAATTCAACAGCTTAGCGTGGCAGTCACTGGGGACGGGCAGAATCTCCCACGCATCCCATGTGGATCGCACTTGTTACGCACATCACTTTTTTCATAGCAGTGACATTACAGGAAAGGCATTGGTTTAACGACCATCACAAAATTGATCATTAGCCATCACATAGCAGTAAATGGTGTTAATTTTTTAACATTGTGAAACTGATTGAGTGTACAGTATATAGGTCCATCGTATAACAGTCATTGCTTGTACATGAAAAAAATCTAATGTACGTGGATGTGTTATGTGTATTTATACATACAAAAGCAATATGTGTGTTAAATATGAAAGTTTAATGTCTTTTACCCTTTCATGCCGTGAACTAGAAACACTGTACAGGGAGGGGGGGGGGGAGGACTTTAAACAGGCTGGGAAGATTGTATTGAGGATTTGCTTGCCCCGGGCTTGTGACTTCTGAAATTTATTTGCCCTGACATATTTTTACTTGCCCTGATATTGTTTGGGAAATTTACTAGCCCTGTTTTTTATATCCATCTCGTGAGCCACCTACCCTTTCATCTCCTGAGCCATCTAACTACACCAACTCCTTCATCGCACCTGCCTGCATGTACAGTACATAATGTAGAGTATGTTGTTATATATGATTTATGTACAGTACAGTAAACCCTTTCATTAAAGGACTTCTCAATGCTGGATATTCCCAATAACGGAATTGTTCTTGAGTGGTATAATTAACTGACTCGGTCAATTGGCATGATTCAGCATGGCTGACACTGTTTACAAGATGATATAAAACATAACACTGAGCTTATGAAAGTGTTAAACTGATAAAAACCAAAATATTTCCTGTAGGCTCATTATATTAACCCTTAAAGGGCAATGGACAGCATATGATGTTTAGGTTTTTCATGCTATTGTTTCGAAAGCTGCGTTGATGCTGTTTATATATGGTGATGCTGGCAGCTCCCTCTAGAGCCAGAAAAACTTACTCCCAGTTCAACTTGTGATATCTCAAAAAAAAATATATATATATATATAATATATATATATTATTTCCCATATATAATGACTAAATATGAATTTGTGGAAAAAATCAGCTTCTAATAGTGTAAAAAATGAAATACAGTAAATCAATTAGGGCACATTTTACATGTATTTGAACAACATTATCTTCAAGTGATTTGCTCTGTTTTCTGTGTCACAAAATATACCCCATCCTGAGTGGAAAGTGCACCTTAATATACCCTCTTAAGGGTTAATGGAGCGGTATTTTTATTTTATTTTTATTTTTTTTAATAAAACAAACAGGTGTTCTGTGGAGTTTAGTAGTGGTACAGTCACAGTACCTTCCATGTCCTCCATTGCATTGTACAGCTATTTCACTTAACTTATTATTGCCCAATAAAGAATATTAGAAACTTGTTTTTTTTCTTTATCATATCAAGACTTTTTTCCTGTAGAAACATATCTGAGCTTTTATAATGGGAGGTGGTGGAAAAATGTGATGTGATTTAGGAAGGGTTTTCAGGAACGGAGCCCTGTCATAAATCGGACTGCTTGTATAGTAGCGAATATCAGGGGTCTACTATATTTTGTGTATTTGAATAAACTACCATTAAGCAGGGGGTAACATAATAAGTAAAGGAAATGGTGAAGTAGCAACAGGAGGAACGATCTCCCTTATTCCATTTGATGCTTATGGGAAAAATTTCTTTGATTAAAGTCGTTTCAATAACTGTTGCACTTTCAGAACACATCCCAACGTAAACCAGGGTATTACTGTACAATGCACTAGCAGATGGACAAATTTTCCAAGATCTTCACATGTTAAAGGTCAGAGAGAGCGTGACAGACTTGGTGACCAAAACCACACACCACCATGCCACACTGTACAAGGGGTATCTAGCTCCATGTGCAGAGGGATAATATGGTCCTGTAAGCATCACATGTCTGCTCTCCTTACCCCATAAACTGTTGCCCTTAAGGAGTCTTTACCAAGATTTTAGAGGAAAGGACATATTACTGTAGCTTGAAAATTTATATTCTCAAGTAAAAAGGTAGAAAGGGGAGCTTTTGGATATGTGTGTTGAGGGTGAAGGCTCATTATCTTTTATGGCTAGAGCTATCAAGTTTAATGAATCATTCGGCAGGCAATGGAGGTAGAGCTAATTGACACTTTCAGAGCAAAGCCAAACAACTGACCATTAGTTGTGGGTTATGCTTATACAGGGAGGTAATATCTTCCCTCCGTAACGTGTCCAGCATAATGAGGGAGCAAGAGGCACAACCCAAAATAGGTATTTTCTAGCTTTATGCTGTAGCTTTTATGTGATTATACTCAATCAAATGTAAATTTAAGCAAGTTTTGGGATAAATGAGGTGGTTAAATGAATGTTTTGCTATGTTAACAGTAATGTTAGGGCAAATGTGGAAGGTTATTTGGGCCCCAACCCTAGTTCCTATTTTCCCATTTAAAATAATGATTACACCAAGGGTTAAATCCATAAAAAGTCAGATTTTTATATGTCATTAGTGTTAAATACATACACTGAGAACCCATCATGAATAAACCAAATCATGAACATCAAGCCCTCATGTGTTGAGGGTTTACTGTATCGCTCTTCCATAAGGAGGTCCCTCGGTTTTATTAAGTCACTACCACCCATCACCAGCATGCCCTTTCTAATAAATTATGTGGTGCCATCTTCTCTGTTCATTCATTCATAATGTTGCTTCTTGGAAGTCTCTAATTGTCTCAGTTTATTTCAGTACATCTTGAATTAGTTTTTCTTATATTAATACCTGGATTTCTACATAATGATGACTATTTCAACAATCATATGCCTGTGAAACAAATGGAAGCAAAGGTGGCTTCAAAAACTTTATCCAAAACTAATGTAAACTTATAATACAGTACCAATATATATATCACTACTTTAGAAACCAGATTTATTAATGATTACTCGTAAAGTATTCTTCTGACCTGAACATTGAACAAGGAATGAAAAATTAGGCACTTTATGTTCATTACATATTTACAGAAAACATTATTTCTGTAACTGCTTTCAGGTCATGTGATTATGCATCACCTTGTTTCCCAATTGAGATTCCTCCTGATGACCCACGAACCGCTCATCGCTGTATGGAGTTCACCCGCTCTTCTGGTATCTGTGGCTCTGGGATGACTTCTGTGTTTTTCAATACTGTATTGCCTAGGGAACAGATCAATCAACTCACTTCTTATATTGATGGTTCATAAGTCCACTCATAAACTAGATAATGTATAACTTTGTCTGGCTGAGACACTCCTTCTGTAGTAACAAGTATAATTAGCTTTCTGCATTTTTTAGGGTTACTTTGCAATTGCAGAATTCACAAATTTGGATACCTTGGTACACTGAAAAGGGTTATATTTCCAGGTCAGACTGAGCATAGGGGGAAAAGTACATAATATCTTCTTTGCAACCACTCAGGAGCAACAGTCTGGTGAGTCATTCAGTACAATAGGTGATGTACCACCTTGTAGGTGCCACATTTTGTGATTAAAGACTGAACTTGAAATATGTTGTTACCAGATAACTGTCACAATAGTATGTTGGAAAATTAAGTACTGTGCATATTAAATGATAAACACTGGGCACCAGATAGACATTTAACTTCCAAAACCCACAGCAGAAGATTTACAAAAAAGGACATACAACATTTTTTACATAACCCTTGGAATATACTGGATGTTTGCTATAATTTCCAGTCCATTAAGATGTCTGTGGTGACCCAGACCTTTCAGTTCTCTCACCAAAACACAGGCAAGTGATGTTTGTTCATCTCCTAGAGCACACATGGGTTCAAGCATGATACAGCAGCCTGAACTAGACCATACACTTCCCTGAGGCATTGGTCCAGGAGAGAAGGGATAACATACCCTTCACTATCTTGAAGTCAGGAGCAAACCTTTCCTTCTTGGATGAGAAACTTGTGGAAGACTGCATTATTTTTCCTAAGAACTAAGTCGTTTACTTTATGTACAGTTGACCACCAAATTGCCTTCCCACTGCAGAGGCACTCACACCTGTAGCCAGCCTGTCAACACATTAATTTTATCTCTAAATTATCACATCTTTCATTTTTCTAGCATTCTTGCCTTCCCCATTAATTTTGTAATTAGAAGCCATGACTAAGTGGAAGAAATAGGTAAAAACTAACACAAGTTCATAATAGCCAGCTGAGAGATGCAGCAAGGTGTTTGCAGTTTGGGAACTGCAGTAGGAAAGAAGGACAGAGCAGGTACTTGGACTGGCATGCCTCTGCTGTACTGACAAGCCAAATATAACATCACACCACCTCTTTATGTCCTCAGTGTTGGGATGAGAAAAGTGGTTAGGGTGATGGATTTGTAGATACTGAAAGTCAGTGAGTCGTGCATAAGGGTAAGTATATTTTAGGCCATTCATAAATACTTGGAACTCATGAATACAGAGGGTTTATTGTACACAGGTTAATATCCATGATTTGCTGAACCCAGACATATGAGTGAATGACTTTGAATATTAGTTTATGCTTTCACATCTTATCTGGTTTCTAAAAGAAACCCAATGGGCTCAGCAGTTACTGCTAAATTCTGAAAGCATTTAGTCCCATTCTCATCATCATGAGTGGGGTTGTTAATTGTCAGAAAACACCAATGTTTAATCAACCCCTTCAATTCCAGCCACCCAAGTAAGCTGTATGAATATTAACAAGACTCAGTTTAGTCTATGAGCAACCAAGTGCTTTTACACAAATGATTTTTGATAATTGCCAAGTTTGACTGTTGCAGTCCCAGGTGTTGTATAGGGGCAGGTGTGTTATTATTGTGTTACAAGAGTGTTTACAATTGTCTTAAAGAGTTGTTTGTTTATCTTGTCTTCCAACTTGACCTACTGTATGTTAAGAAATATGTGTATCTGTTCCTTTACCTGGGCATGTGATTTAAAGGAAATATTGTAGTTACAGTATACTACTGGCAATACAGCTGCAAGATAGTGTATAAACCACTTTTGTGATTATATACTTCAATTACTGAGATTGTTGCTAATGGCATTGGTTTAACTCTGCTGGATTGCACTTGCAATGTGGACTTAATTTCATGGCTGATCTTATTTTAGGAAAAGAGTTGATATCTTACCCAACAGGTGTGAATAGGTCCAGCATTATAAGCTGTGGGATGTGGGAGATCTGTCAGTACAGGGCAAAGAGGGACAGGATGTACTGGTTCCTGTCTCATTTTAAGTAGCTCAAGATAGTGATCCTGAGGTCAATTTCACTTAATGGGTGAAATTTTAGTTGTACCATTGGAACTACTATCTGATGTAGGTGAATGAGTTTTGACCAAATTTTTTTCCTTGTTCAGATACTACTGATATACAGTGTATCTATACCTTTAAACTTCTTTTCCGGCCACCATTGAACATACTGGTTTGCAACTGTCCATCTATCCAGCTGTACTTTTGTCCATTCGTTCCTTCCCATTCAAGTCAGTTAGCAGGATTATGCAAAAAGTAACCAGTGTAGAACAGTAACATTTTGAAGTTTTATAGGCATTCTTAGGTTAGGTATGAAGCTGTTTGATTTTTTTCTTCTGTTCTACAAGTCTTGTTTGGTAGGTCTTAAATTAATAGCCATACTTCTACTCTTATACCATTTTGATATTTTTTGTTCCTTGGTAAGCCTTCTTCACCCATAACTGGTCATTATCATTCAAGTACGTGATCACCGATATTACCATCTCTGGTCATTCACGTACTAGAACGTTTTCCAAATATACTTTTCTCCCACCATTGAAACTGAGTCTAGCTACCATAATCTTTTGGCTGGTGGTGTCTGGCATCTTGTGTAAACCTTTCCCACCACTTGACTTTGAGGACCCCCCAGCAGGAGCCCACCCTCCCTTCTCTCCCCACAGTCAAGGCCGCGGGACTCCACAGTAGAGTCTCGATAGCCATGGCACATGAACATAACTTGTCATTCTGTCAGGATGTGATATACTCTGAATTATTTGGTAGAGGTGAAGATGAACATGGTATTGACAGAGAAGCATCTTATATTGAAGGTGATGATAATGATAGTGACCCGGACTATGTGTTTGAACAAAAGGAAAGTGACAACGATGAGTGGGAATTGGAGGAGAGGGTTGCTGCTCTCCTTATCTCCAGGAGCATTCAGTACTTCCTAGGCTTGGCAATAGTTCACCAGTCCAGGATTTAAATGCTGCTCAGCACATTTAAATGTGGTGAGCTGCCACTTTTACTCGTATTTCTTGTTTTTAAGTCATTTTGGGGTGTTTGGGCCATAAAACAAAAAATTGGTTTTTACCAATCGGGGGGGGGGGGTGTACCAATGTATGTATAATAATCTGACCTTTTACGGGTTAAGTACCAGCAGAGGTTGTCATCTTCAATGTTATTGTGTATTATTGTATGCAGAACAAAACTAAATTTGTTTCATTCTAATTTTTGGTCAGGACATTTGAGGTGAAAGTCAATATTGGACATACAATCTAATCAGGCTTTTCTATCTGCTCTGAAACATTTTAATCCAAATGAATAACATCATGAAACATTTTTAACACAGGATGCAGCACCACCAGGTGATATATTGTGTATCCATGTTGTTTTGGGGTCAAAGTTCATCCTGCATGTGAATAATTCTTTGAGTCTCTGATCCAGAATATATTAACAAATGATAGTATCATCATAAAACAGTAGCATAATGTGCATCCCTACCAGATGATGTGTCATGTGTCTTAAAGGTCAAGGTCACAGTTGGAGGTCACCGAGCATATAAGATAGGCAGTTCATGTGTGTTGTGTAAATTTTAATCAATAATGATATTATCATGAAATATCAACACAGTACAGTAAAGACTACTACCAGACACCAAGTGACTCACTGTATGTTAATCATGATGCTAAGTGACTCAGGTGCTCATAATGAGGCCAAGTGACTCAGGTGCTATGGTACCAAGTGACTCAGGTGCTCATAATGAGGCCAAGTGACTCAGGTGCTCATAATGAGGCCAAGTGACTCAGGTGCGCCTAATGACCACAAGTCAGATGACTAATATTTACGATTACTGATGCTGAATGACTCTCCAATATATATTTTCCCATTGATTAGTTGAAACGAGTAATTCATGAATGGATTTTTCACAGATTTATGGGTCTAGTGCTGCAGAAGTACGACTCCTACGCAACATGACTCATAATCGTGGTCAGTTACGACATGGAATTTTCATGCCATCAGGAAAACCCCTTATGCCATTCAGTGAAGGTGCACCTGTAGATTGCCGAAGAGATTTAAGTGAAAGTGGCATTGACTGTTTCTTAGCTGGAGATATTAGAGCAAATGAACAGGTGAGGTTTGAGTTTTTGATAAAGATTGAAATTTATATAATGCTATTTGTAGATTGTTCCTCTTAACTGATGGTAGACATTTTACATTTAAAAAAAAATATGAACCAACGACTTGCTGTATACAGTATAATGTGTCATGTTATATAGTTAAGCATCGTCTGATGCATTTCCTAACATGAGTTACTTGTACTTGTTAATGTTGTAGTTTTCCTGCAGGCTGGTCTGACTGCCATGCACACAGTGTGGTTTAGAGAACACAACAGAATAGCTGAAGCCTTCAGTCAAATCAATCCTCACTGGGATGCTGATACTGTGTTCTATGAAGCTAGAAAGGTATGTGATTTTTATATCTTCAAACTCTCATTTTTGCTGAGAGAGACAAAGAGAGTGAAAGGTGTTTTGATTGCCTTTTTTGGGGAAATTAAAAAAAAAAAGTTCCAGCATATTTTTTATCAAATTTCGTTGAGTCACAATGTAAACAGAACCTCATGTTCGTCATTCTTACAATATTCTAGTTTTCAGTTTGTATTTTCCCATTACACTAGACCCTGAAGATAAGGATGAATTGTGTGTATTGGTGACAATGTTTAGTTACCTAGATCAGACATATCTAACAAATTTTCGTGGGTGGTGTTATATGGCAGATTAATAGTGCTGACAAACTTGCAAGTTTTCATCAAGAAAAAAAGTTGTCAGTTTAGATTCTCATAAGCAAGGGTCCTTGTCATTTCTTTTCAGTTTGGATGAAATCAGCATATTGAAAACACTTTAACTTCAAAATAAACCCATTCAAAAAGATTTTTGGAAGTCAGCACAATAATACCTTCATGATTTACAGATTGTTGGAGCCCAGATCCAGCACATAACATACACTCATTGGCTGCCACACATCATAGGACCACAGGGGATGGAACAGCTTGGAGAATACAGAGGCTACAACCCTGACCTGGAGCCCACAATTAGTAACGTCTTTGCTACTGGTGCTTTTAGGTAACATTTATTAATGGGTAAATGATTACATATTACTTTCATGTTATTAATGATAATTTAGTTCAAAGTGTATAACAGTATTTGAAATATAGGATTTTATGTAACTTTCCTCTGAAGGTCAATGTTGAGGCCATCAACAGCCATTTTGGTTTTTAAGTCTGTACAAGTGGGAGGTATTTATTGGATATATGGGATGGATATTCTGTATCTAATTTGAAAATGGATATCACATCAAATCATAATTTGAATGAGGAGAATGTATAGAAAAAGATATGTATCAGTAATGATTAAATTGAGAATATATTGAAAAATTAATTCATAGTACAATTGAGACTGTACCTCATTGAAGTTAAACTGGTGGTGGAAAAACAGTCATAAAGGACAGTTTTTATGAAGACTGTGTTCATGATTTGTATTATACTCTAGCTGTTGACTCCAGGGTTGTAGATGTGACTTTAGAGATTGTCTTCACTTTATCAGATAACACTTATAGTACAGTAGAGTATGAAACTAGTATGTGACTTACCCTTTCCTTAGGGGTATCACATGTAATAATGAGATATTAGAGTAACTCACTATGGACATTTCTTTACTTGGTCTCTTCAGAAAAGTAAAGGCAAAATTTTTCTTCTGTTAATCATTGAGGAGTTCACCTTCAAAAGTGTGTGTGTTTGCCCATGTGAGTTAATTGGGAGAGTCTTTTGGTATGGGATCCTTTGTGTTATCCTTACCTTGATCACATCTAAAATTTTGCACCTGCCAAAAAGAAAGAACTGGCCTTGTGAAATCCCAGCTTAGGGTTGGGGAAGTGTGAAGACGTTACCTTGATCCAACTACTGTACTTCACTTTGTTCAACCAGTTTTGGTGCTGTTGATCAAGAACAACAACAACACCACTGTTACACTAGTTCTTCAGCTGTACACTTGCTATATAACAGTGTGAGAAATGTATTTTAAGGTGTTATGTATTCCTCCCCATCCATAAAATGGAGCGTCAGAAGCTCAATCCCTCCTTTATGCAAATTCTTTTTTCCATCCTTTGCAGATTTGGGCATTCTTTGATCAATCCAATTCTCCATCGACTTAATGCTACCTTCCAGCCAATCCCTGAAGGTCATTTACCACTGCACAAGGCTTTCTTTAGCCCCTGGCGTATTGTACAAGAAGGTGGAATTGATCCACTTCTCAGAGGTCTATTTGCAACTCCTGCAAAACTCAAGGTAATGCTATTGACTCAAATTGAACTAAGGAAGAGGCTTTGTTCAAAAGTTACTCATTATTTACTAAAGTAGAAGAAAGAACTTATGGTAGAGGAAGATAGGTTATGGTGATTTTAGAACCATTAAGTTTAACCCTTTCAGCGCGATGTCATTAATTTATTAGGATACAGTGGTCCCTCGGTTAACGAGCACAATCCGTTCTAGAAGGTTGCTCGTTAACCGAAAAACTCGTTAACCAAAACCATTGTTTCAATGGGTTTTTGGGTAATTGGTTCCAGCTCACCGAAAATTGCCTAAATTCAACAAAAAAGGTAGAAAAGTACACTTACTTTGAAGTGTGTATGTAGAAGGCTCCTGGATGATGATGATGAGAATTAGAATGGGGGTGGAGAAGAAGGGAGAAGAGAAGGCATTGGGGTGGAAGAGAAGTCACCCCATGGTGCCATTTCACCCATAAAATTTAAGTTCTCTTGGTATAATTCAAGATTATTTTCTTTAAATCAACACTGCACTGCATTATATATTGTCAATATGTAAAATAAATATAAAAATGACCAATAATTTGCTTGTAAACACAGAAATAAAGCGTTTAGTTGAAGAGAGTCTCAAGTAAGATGTTACCTCTACTGAAAAGACACCAAGACTGACACCTGTATGGTGTGTTGGCAGGCTGGATGGCGTGCCACAGACTAGTGACCCTACCTTCAATTATGTTCAATAATTGTTAAAATGACTAAAAAATTTAATATTAAACTTTTAAAATTATTGAATAGTATAAACTTCTTGATATTTACTAAAGGGTAAGGAATTTAAGCCCTAGAACCGATTACTGTATTGGCAGACTAATACTACAGCTGGTGGACCGCCAAATGCAAGCTAAAACATGTGGAGGTCGGCTCGTAAGAAACTCGTTAACCGAAGTTAAGAATCTTATGGAAGGTAACTCGTTAACCGAAATCTCGTTAATTGAGGCGCTCGTTAACCGAGGGACCACTTTATCCTGTGTGCGGACATTTTAAAAAAATACAAACTATTTCTTTTATACAAGCCCAGTAAACCCTTGCTCTTCCGGACCTATCATATCCAGATTTTGGTTGGTCCGAACTGACATCTGGATGCGACAAATTCCTATCCGGTCTCTCTCTCTCTCTCTCTGTATGCCGTGTTTACTACCCGCTGCTAAAATGAACCCAGTTCACGTCATCTACTGAACCAAGCTGTGAGGTGTTATGGTTGTTTTTCAACTCGTATTATCGGGTAGATATATGTAACTTTCTTCATTTATTTTTACTTGGTCACATGCACACACCATCCTACATATATACAGTATACAGTATATATATATACATATATATATATATATATATATATATATATATATATATATATATATATATATATATATATATATATATATATATATATATATATATATATATATATATATATATATACAGTATATATATATATATATATATATACATGTATACAGTATATATATATACATGTATATCACTTCTGTAATGTGATGCATGTGATTAATTTTTTTCTCTTGTGCAAAATATATGACGTTTATATTCAAATTATTCGCTGTCTTGCAAGGATTCCAGCAATACAAATTTTAATCTCCTAACTTTGGTCTGAGATATTATATAAGATAAAAACTGTAAGCCTAAAACCCGGGCTGGGGGAGAGGGAGGGAACAAGCGAGCGAGCGAGCAGGGGTGAGGTGATATGTTTGACAGTTAGAGCCGAAGGTCTCGTGTGTGTTTATTTAACAGTCCTTAATTGACTAAGCTTCTCTCATTTTAAAAAGCCAGTGAAATGACCTGGGTGAATATAATTTATATTGCTGGGATTCTTGTAAGATAGTGATTAATTTGATTATAAACAAGCTATAATTTGCACGAGACATAACAATTTTAGTACCGTATTCATTTAGTACATGTACAGTACAGGTCATTTATTTCTTTTATGTTTCTTTTAGTATGGTGTGTGCATGTAAATGAATGAAAATAAATGAAGAAATTTATGTAAATCTACCCAAAAATACAATTGAAAAATTTTATTTCATGCAAAATATATGACCTTTGCATTCAAATTATTCACTGTCTTGCAAGGATTCCAGCAGTGCAAATTATATTCTCCTAACTTTAGTCTGTGATATTATATAAGATAAAAACTTAAAGCCTATTGTATAACCACCAAACCCTTGCTGGGAGGTGGAGTTGGGGGAGGGAGGGGAGGTGACAGTGACATGTTTGACAGTTAGCGCCAAAGGTCTAGTGAAGTATTTATTTGTTTATTTATGTCCTTTAGATTGAGTTTTTGTTTTTTGCTTATACAATGTCATCGAAATGACCGGGTGTTTCTCAGGGTTGGAAACTCAGTTCTGATCTGGAACTGTTTACAATTAACAGATCCCTTTTGAAATCTGCTTTGGGTCTTAAAGATTAACCTCTCTTTTTTTATTGGATTTTATGCACCTTTTGCAGCCCTTTAGTGAAAGATATATAAGAAGTTCATATATTTAGATTTCTTGAAATTTGTTAAGTAAGTTTGCCAAAATTGATGCTGTTTTTTTCCTATTGCAGATGCCTGGCCAGTTTTTAAACACAGAACTGACTGAAAAGTTGTTTCGTGCTGTACATGAGGTGGCACTTGATCTTGCATCACTCAATATACAGAGAGGACGTGATCATGCTCTACCAGGCTACATAGAATGGCGAAGAGCTTGTAATCTTTCAGTGCCAGAAAACTTTGATCAACTTAGATCTCACATATCATCAGTTAACATTAGAAACAATCTCAAGCAGTTATATGGCCATCCAGGTAACAATCTAATATAAACCATTGTAATTACCTTTTTCCATTTGTTGCCACTATCAGTTTCAGTAAATTGTGTTGTTTTATGTAAAAAAATATACAGGTAGCATATACCATTATTGTAAAAAGGATATATATATATATATATATAATATATATATATATATATATATATATATATATATATATATATATATATATATATATATATATATATATATATATATATATATATATATATATATATATATATATACAGTTGTACCCCACTTAACGCGGTCAATAGAACCCAGAGGGTCCCGTGTTAAGTGAAATCCGCGTTAAGTGAACAACAGAACATATGGGATTAATTCCAATAGAAACCGGCCCGACCCCCAAACTCCACTTTTTGAAGGCACATACCTATGTTGTAGTAAAAATAACATCTTAATTTTATGATGGTACATGCACACAATTAATACTTAAGAGAAATAGAGAAATACAGTCGCCAAGTTAATGTCCATTCAAATAATGGACTCAACTCCCTCCCCTCTCACACTACACTGCCTGGCTCTTCCCTCTCAGAGAAATTTTTGGGGGAAAACCACTAAATTTTAATAAATAATACCTCAAACTAAAGTTAGGATAATACAATTGACATTGCTGGATTCCTTGTAAGACCAGGAATATTTTGAATATAAATGTCATATATTTTGCACAAAAGATAACATAGTTACCTAGAGAAAAATTTTTATCTAAAATTTGTATGTTTAATGAAAAATATATGATGTTTATATTCAAAATGATCACCAAATTATAAGAATTCCAGCAATGTAAATTATATTCTGACCGGGTAATTTGTATGAATTTTATGAGCTAAAACAAATATCTTCAGTTAATAAAAAAAAAAATAATCTTCACGACACTATCTGTCAATCAAAGTACCCCACCTTGCCTCCCCCCCTCTTCCAACCACGCGGTCAGTCCCAACCCTCCCCCCCACCCCCCACCAATCCTCCCTTCCAGAGTTTTTAACATTTAGTATTAAATAATACCTCAGATTAAAGTTAGGATAATATAATTGACATTGCTGGATTCCTTGTAAGACCAGGAATATTTTGAATATAAATGTCATATATTTTGCACAAAAGATAACATAGTTAATTTGAGAAAAATTTTTATCTAAAATTTGTATGTCTAATGCAAAATATATGATGTTTATATTCAAAATGATCATCAAATTATAAGAATTCCAGCAATGTAAATTATATTCAGACCGGGTAATTTGTATGAATTTTATGAGCTAAAACAAATATCTTCAGTTAATAAAAAAAAATAATAATTCTTCACTGGGTAACAGATGGTCGGTCGGTCCCTCCCTCCCCCCCACCCCCCACCAACCGTCCCAAGGAGATGTGTGGGATAACCACTAAATTTTAATAAATAATACCTCAAACTAAAGTTAGGATAATATAATTGACATTGCTGGATTCCTTGTAAGACCAGGAATATTTTGAATATAAATGTCATATATTTTGCACAAAAGATAACATAGTTACTCTGAGAAAAATTTTTATCTAAAATTTGTATGTCTAATGCAAAATATATGATGTTTATATTCAAAATGATCACCAAATTATAAGAATTCCAGCAATGTAAATTATATTCTGGCCGGGTAATTTGTATGAATTTTATGAGCTAAAACAGGCAGTCAGGCAGGGTGGCGGGTGGGGCAAATCTAAAAATAGCGTCTCGAGCCGGCCGGACACTCACCGCGTATATGTGGAAAAAATCCGTGTTAAGTGAAAGTTCAGCTCTGGCGAGGCACCGCGTATATGATAAAACGCGTTAAGTGAAACCGCGTTAGGCGGGGTAATATTGTATGTATATATATATATATATATATATATATATATATATATATATATATATATATATATATATATATATATATATATATATATATATATATATATATATATATATATATATATATATATATATATATATATATATATATATATATGTATGTATGTATGTATGTATGTATGTATGTATGTATACAACAGGAACCTCACTTTACGCGTTAATTAAAAACGCCAGAAAGTGAACAACATAACATATGGGATTAAATGAAATAGAGACCGGCTGACCCCCAAACTCCACTTTTTCCGACACAATACCTATGTTCTAGTAAAAATAGCATCTTAATTTTATGATGGTACATGCACATAATTAATACTTAAGAGAAATAGAGAAATACAGTCGCCAAGTTAATGTCCATTCAAATAATGGACTCGACTCCCTCCCCCTCTTCTCACAGTAACCTCCCTGGCTCTTCCCTATCTGAGAAATTTGGGGGGGAAAACCACTAGATTTTAAGGTATAGTAATAAATAATACCTCAAACTAAAGTTAGGATAATACAATTGACATTGCTGGATTCCTTGTAAGACCAGGAATATTTTGAATATAAATGTCATATATTTTGCACAAAAGATAACATATTTACTCAGAGTAAACATTATATCTAAAAATTTTATGTCTAATGCAAAATATATGATGTTTATATTCAAAATGATCATCAAATTGTAAGAATTCCAGCAATGTAAATTATATTCTGGCCGGGTAATTTGTATGAATTTTATGAGCTAAAATAAAAATCTTCAGTTAATAAAAAAAAAAATATTCTTCACACGGTAACAGATGGTCGGTCGCCGGTCCCTCCCTCCCTCCCCCCCACCAACGTCCCTACTAGATAAATGTGTGGGAATACCAGACTGTTTACCTTTTTAGTAATAAATAATAAATCAGACTAAAGTTAGGATAATATAATTGACATTGCTGGATTCCTTGTAAGACCAGGAATATTTTGAATATAAATATCATATATTTTGCACAAAAGATAACATATTTACTCAAGAGTAAACATTATATCTAAAATTTGTATGTCTAATGCAAAATCTATGATGTTTATATTCAAAATGATCATCAAATTGTAAGAATTCCAGCAATGTAAATTATATTCTGGCCGGATAATTTGTATGAATTTTATGAGCTAAATTAAAAAAAATTATACTTCACTGTGTAAAGGGGTACACCCACCGCGGAATGTGAGCATCCTGGGTTCTGGCAGGGCACCGCGTAAACGTGGAAACGCGGAATGCGGGACCGCGTAAAGTGAGGGTTGACTGTATATATATATATATATATATATATATATATATATATATATATATATATATATATATATATATATATATATATATATATATATATATATATATATATATATATATATATATATATATATATATATATATATATATATATATATATATATATATATATATATATATATATATATATATATATATATATATATATATATATATATATATATATAATTCTCTCTCTCTCTCCATGAGCCACATTCATTACTATTTACAATGACTGGTTGTTGTATGTTATCATAAATTTTGTTAGGAAATGTGGACCTCTGGGTTGGCGGCTTGCTGGAGGACCCTGTTGAAGGTGCCAGAGTAGGACCAACTTTCCTCTGTCTTCTTGTCGATCAGTTCAGGCGTTTGCGTGATGGTGACAGGTCAGTTTTTTCTTTTTATTATGGTGATAATTTAAAAGTGATGTCATTAATACAGTATTTTGTATTATATAATTATTAATGCCATATAACTTTTGGGTATTATATCTTAATGCTATTCCATGAAATTTTATACTTATAAATTTATCATATTGTGTGTACAGTATTCTATTTAAAGTTTCTTCAAATATATATATATATATATATACCCCTGAATTATTATTATTATTATTATATTATACACATTAATGATATGAATATTGCAAGCAGATTCTGGTATGAGAATCCAACTATATTCAAGACTGAACAATTGACACAAATCAAACAAGTCACTCTAGGAAGAGTCATCTGTGACAATGGTGATAAAATAGAAGACATGACACCTGATGTGTTTGTGTTACCACGTGAACAGAACCCAGCATTTATGGAATGTTCGAAGCTTCCATATGTTGATTTACGTATATGGACTGACTGCTGTAAAGGTACATATGTGTATTAATGGCTTCCAAAAAATTAGGTCATAATGATACTTGATAAACTTACTGCACTGCATAATATTCTTATTGCTTATGATTACAGGCATCCCTCAACTTTTAGAAGGATTAAGGTCCAGAAAAGTTGTCCATATCTTAGGATTCTGTAACTTGAAACCTACTTTCTGATTGACTTCCAGACTTTAATTGCACTCCTTTGGTCAAAACCCCCTCCTCCACACCCCTATAAACATATTAAAATAATTCCAAAGAGTTTTTAAGTTTACTTTAAATGAATTTTTTTTTTTTAAATAAACTATGCAGTAGTAACATACTATAATGAACCCTCAAAGATCCGGACTAAAGGGGGGGGGGGACCACCTGTCCGAAAAAGCCGATTGTCTGAATCTTCCGGTGAATGTACTAATGTATAAAAAAGATAAATAATGAAATAAAAAACATCAAAAATACAGTACATATTATCCTGACCACTGGGGTTAGTTATACAGACTTTTTCCTGTGAAAAAGCCATAATTGTCGCCTAATTTGTAAACAGTGACAGGCACAGTGATAAACAAATTATATAAACCGTCCATTTACCTACGGTTTATGTTTCCCACCTCCTTGGGCACCTGTGTCCAACACAACCATCTGGTCAACCAGTTCCCACGGTCCTAAAATGTTCTTTGCTCTGTTTTGGGAATGCTTTTTAGGGAGGCTTCTTAGCCCAGAACCACCACATTTTTTGTCGTAATCCTCCGAAATCCACATTTACCAGGTCCAGATCTTCAAGGGTTCATTGTACTATCATTTTTAATGGAGAATATTGAAGAGAAATGAGAAGCTCATTCTTGCAAACCTAACCCATAATTACATGAAGTATGAGAGATTCGTTTGAAATGGTGCATTTTTAATGTTATAAGCACAGGACTTTAAGAATGTGTTCAGTCACAAAAAACACCACTGAAAATTTACCCATCATTATTATTATTTTTTTTTTTTAATTTATTTTTTAATGGGGAATAGCCCACCCGGGCACAGGTCATCGACCCAAAATGGGGCCTGGGGGGCAAAAAATTAAGAGTAAAATGACATTAAAAATAGAAGAAGAAAAAAAGATTATATTAATCTACACCACGAAGATGCCGGAAAATCAGCTAATTGGTTTGCCAGTAGGTGGTGGTTGGTACAATTAACAGAATCTTTACTTTTGCGTCATTTACAGTAATAAGTACTGATACTATAACCTAACCATTTCTGGTCATGCACATGATTTAAAGTACTTCACAGAAATAGATAGTTTTGATACGTAAAAAGTTTAGAGTGTGCTGGCAGGGAGTTAGCACATTGCTAAATAAGCAAACATTTGGGTTTCATTATACAGTGGATTCGAGTTAACTTGGCAATTAGATACCAGAAGACATTGTGAATTATCAGATTGCAAATTATAGTATAAATGGAAATGCTGTAATTATTATTGGTTTCAGAGACCAGAAATTACCCATAAACTGTTCCAAAATGGTTTTAATAAACACTAGACATGGTACATAATAACTTTTTTGAATTCATTTCCCTAATCAGACTTGCTTCAACCAGAAGTCTTTCTGTGACACATGTTGATTTGAACACAAAACTAATATGCTACATAATTTATTTGTCAGTGGCCCAAGGTTAAAAATGCTTTGAAAGCATTTGTGGTAGATGTAGGGTAGATGATCTTTGTTAGGCTGCTCATTTTTATTATCTCTTCTTTCGTGTGCTGTGGAGGTGGTGTGTGAATTAGTGGATCCCATGTTATTGACCTGACCTGATGTCATGTAAGGTCACCCTTTATATATAAGCCACTCCTTAATAAGTCAGTATCTTAACTTTTTCTTCAAAAAGTTCTCACATTGTGTTTTTTTCTTTTTCTCACTCATCACCATGAGCACTGCCACAAATTTTTCTCTCAGGGGCCACTGTAACTACATCCCCTTAGCACTCCCCTTCCATGTCAAGCTGTGAATGGAGTCATTGTTATTTTTAACTCCTATTTTATTTTTTTTAACTTTACATGTATGCACAATTGTTCATACAGAATGTGCAAAAAATAATCATAAGGTCAAACACGAATAAGCATTTCTTACATGCACCACGGGAGGTAGCACACAGTTGGGAAGGGAGGAGCAGCATGGTGGCTCTCTGTCTTGTGTCCTGTGTACTGTATATTGAAAAGATTGCCAAATGTCATTGTAGTACATTTTCTTTTCTTTCATTTATTATTATTATATTTTTTTTATTCATCACATTTACAAGTACAGTATACACATGACACAGTTCAGCCAGGCAGTCACCAAGTTGACTCCAAAGACTCATGTGACTGCTGGCTGTGTATCCGTGACATCACATAGAGGGGAGGGAGAGTGCGGCTGGTCGCAGTTGCAGCTCACTGCGTCAATTCATATGTTCACTTCCCACACATACACACCCAGGCTCTTCATTTTTCTTATTTTATAGTTTTATATTATATTTTCTTTATGTATAAGCCATATTAGAGTATTGTAATCAAGGAGGTTGAATGGATGGTGGCGGTGTTCGCTGTGTATGTAACAAACGCGTGAAGCCAGGCCGCCATCTTGGTGAGGGCAACAAAACCACAGTTGCCGCAGCTACTTACGAACAAACGTTGGTTATTGATAACTCTGCAGGATTTATACTATTGTTTTATTTATTATGCAAGGAGGATGAAGTCACTGAGAGAAAAGCGCCACCATATTGGTCAAGGCATCAGTCACACTCAGTGACTTCACTTGAGGCAGTTGGCGCCGCCTCCATCCATTCAACCTCCTTGATTGTAATAGTGTGCACTTGGAGCACAGCTCTCTTTTTACATTAGAATGAATTTCCAATTATTGTCTGACCTGCCTACCCTCTTTTATTCTTATACTGTATATGTATAATCACCATGCTTTCATCTGAACAATATTTATTCCTAATTGAGGTACAGGTACTTTTAAGAAGTCTACCAATGCTAGTGTCAGGAGCTTTGGAGAAATGGTATCATCATGTCTTTTTTCTTTTACCTCTTTGTACATTCTGATCATAGAAACATTACCGTGACTAATAAATGCTATGTAAGTTTATTTTTCCTCATGTTTCTCAAGGCATTTGTGACAGGTCTTGTACTGACTAAATCAAAGCCTTTTCATAATTTATAAACCATGTTCAGTCTCTTTCAAGATTCTTCGAACACTGCTGGAGACAGCTGGCAACTCAAGGCCGTTTGTTTACTATAGTACGTAGTATAATATAATACGAAACCACAGAAACCAACCATTAATTAAGCAACAGGGAACTAAGTAACCAATCACAGAATCGAATACTATAGAATTGAGTTGCCAGCTGTGAACTTGAACGAGATTGTGCATTCAATTAATTCACATTCCTTACACCCGAGTAATTTATGTGGACGTAAATTTTATACCCTTATGTACACTTTTACTCATCAGATATGCTTTTTCTTACTTAGTTTTAGATTATTTCATATACTATAAAGAAGTATTGCATTTACCATTCATCACAATCTTGCACTAGTACGCTATAGATAAACGATTAACTTAGTTTACTTCTAAAAAAAATTCTGTAGATTGTCGAAATGCTGGCAACTTCATTAGCTTGACCCAAGGACCAAACATCCGTTTCCGTCGTCAAGCTCAGTTTTCTCACATTGAGGACCAAGAGCATATTTTGATGGGTATAACCAGTGGAAAACAAGAAGCTAACAATGAAGTAGACCCATCACTTATGTATAGTAATAATTCAGAAAATATTACCTATAGTGAATATAGAGAAAGGTAAATATAATATGTATTTATGAAAAAGATATTGATAAATCTTAGAAATTTTGGGCAATCAGTGAAGCTAGTAAACCATGGAAAAACACTTTTAATTCATATAGTAGTCATGGTTTAAGTGTAATATTAATGTAAAATAGTCATCCTCTGTTATTTCTGTATGATTTTTCTGTCTAATTTATTTCTTGATTCTTGGAAGTCCTGTGCCTAGGCCCCACCACAGTTACCGCCAAGATGGTGTTAGAGGCTGGGTACCAAGAACAAAACATAAAGAAGTCAAAAGTGATTCTAACCTGGGAAGTTATGAGCAAGATATGACAGAACAGCGAATAGAAGGGATTGAAGTGTTGGTAGAGCAGCTCTCAAGAACTGTTATTGAGCTGAATAAAAAGGTCTGTATAATAGAAGTAATAGTTGTATGCAAGCGGCTTTTTATTATTATTATTATTATTATTATTATTATTATTATTATTATTATTATTATTATTATTATTATTATTATTATTATTATTATTATTATTATTATTATTATTATTATTATTATTATTATTATTGTTTTTATTATTATTATTATTTTTATTATTATTTTTTTATTCCCCCCTTCCCGGTCCTTGATGTGGGACATTATAAAATGACCTGTGCCCGGGTGGGTAATGCTCGTAAAAAAAATGCTGCATCCACATTTTCCTAATTAGTTGTCTGGCCTTTGGGACTCACTTTCACTATTTCTCGAAGTAAATTTTTTTTGTCCATCCTTACTTAATCTTAATTGCTTGTCATGAGTTCACATTTGTCCAACTGCAATATGTCTAATGTTACAAATTTACTGCTCCATTGGTGATAAACTATGCTATTTGACTAAAGGTAAGTTTTCAGTTGTAAGAAATTATGATATGAATATGTATGGAGTACTGATTGAATGAAAAATTTTGACACAGAATTCTCTATTTTATTCTTTCTACTTTGCACAAATTGATCCAGTTACCTAAACACAATTACAGTAGTTTATTATGCAGCCTATATGGACTTATCCATAGTTGAAGCCATCTTGATGCAGTGTTCACATCTGCTAAGTGGTGTAGAACAGGCAAGTTCTTAATACAGGTACACCACCGATTTTCCCGGCACCCTTGGTTCAAAGCCTTGCCGGATAATCTGTTTTGCTGGACCAACCGAGGTCCTGCAAATTATACACCTCCTGTGTCTATAAAGCACCATGGACTGCTAGAAACTTAAATTAAACTATGTGATGTTTATACTCAAATTAATCACTACGTATATTACAAGGATTCCAGCGATGTAATTTATATTTTGCTAAGTCTAGTCAGCTACATTTTATAAGATAAAAACTTTAAGCCTAAACTGCCTTCACCCTGGCTGTAAGGATGGAGGAGGGGGAGGTGAGGTGTTAACAGCTGTCAGGGAGGGGAGATAACAAAGTGCATAGTTATCATACAGAAGGAGTTTTAGTTTTTCCCTTATAAAATGTCACTGAATTAACTTGGCAGTATATAATTTGCATTGCTGTAATTCTTGTTAGATAGTGATTAATTTGAGTATAAACATCACATACTGTAGTTTGCACTAGACATAAAAAAATTTGAAATTACTTATTACAGGTTTACCCTTAGGACAATTATTTCTTATACTGTACTTTTTTTCACAATATATATTTAGGATGGTGTGTGCATGTAAATGAGTAAAAATAAATGAAAAAAGTTACATATATCTTCCCGAAAATATGAGTTTAAAAACTTGTACACAAATGTACTACACTAGATTAAAATTTCTATCTCTTGTGCAAACTATGTGATGTTTATACTCAAATTAATCAGTATCTTACAAGGATTCCATTAATGCAATTTATATTCTGCTAAGTCTAGTCGGCTACATTTTATAAGATAAACACTTTAAGCCTAAAACTACCTTCACCCAGGCTGGGAGGAAGGAGGAGGGGAGGAAGTTAAGTGTCCCTTCATAATTTTGTCTGGACTAAAGGAGGTGCCGGACCATCAATTCCCAGATAATCGGTGGTTGTACCTGTAATAATATTTTGAAAGTCAGCCATCTTGGATGTGTTTAATGCTTATTGTAAAATATTTAGTTAAATATCCTATATTATCAGGTTACCACCTTAGAACAAAAGTGCAGTGGAAGTATCAGAAAGAGAAGAAGAAAATTATGCAGAGATGAAGAGGGCCATGAACGACACCCTGGAGAATCCTGGCATAAGGATCCTTGCACTACATGCAAGTGTCGGGTAGGTTGAGATAAGGTTATTGTACTGGTTACCAATAATGTAGTTACATATCTAAAAAATTTAAATTGATCTCGAGCATGTGTCATAGTTTATTATATGAACTGTGAATATAATATGATGATTTACTTCTCTTAAAGAAACATAGTACAAAAATGTTCCACTTCTGTGGATTAATTCAGGCCAAAGCTTGGTACTTTAGTCTGAGTTTTTAGGAAATCTCTGTGTATGTTAGACCACCCTTCGTAAAATAAATTTTTGTATTACATACAATACCGTAATGACCCCATTGTGGAGTTATTGCTGTGGATACACATATAGATCACTTTCAAATACAGATTGAAACTCCCTAATCTGGATTTCCATAAATTGGAAGCTTCTATGGTCTGAACACTGTTAGGATAAAATGTGTGGAAATGATGTATTAGTTGCATCTGAATACAAGAATATCCCGGTTATTGCAAGAGATGTGTTCCTAAAAGTCATTGCGATTAATGAAACCGCAAATATCGAGGCAATTTTCCCCATAAGAATTAATGTAAATAGGGGAGGATGCATTCCCAGCTGACAACTTTCACCACATATTTTTCGATAAATACTCCTCATTATCCAAGGCTATGAAGGACCAAGGTCGCAATAATGTAGATTTCACTACACACGTGAGACTGGAGCAACTGAGCTCACCACCGCTCTCTCACAATGGGAGCGACTCCAGCCAACAATCATAAGAAATGTTAATTATCTTTTTTACCTTATTATTATCGTTTCTTTAATTTTTTGACACATTTTATATGAAGACTGTATGTGCATGTAACCGAAAAAAAAAATTATGTATACAGTATCTACCTGAAAATATGAGTTGAAAAATAATAATAACCAACTCCCAGCATGTACACACGCGCGTAGGTTCCCTTCATCACCGCTCCACACACACACACACACACACACACACACACACACACACACACACAGAGAGAGAGAGAGTGAGTCGTGGGGGTTTGATCACAGTCAGATTCCTCCCCCCCACCCCCTGGTAAGGGTCTTGTCTCTCCCTCCCACTGTATCTTCATTAATTAGTAAAGATACGTTACTGTAATAATCTGTTATTATGAATGCCTACCTGTACCCTTGTCATCAGGAGTGCATCTCCTATTTGTAATGGTATAATACAATAACAGTTCACTGTAAAATAAGTTATTTTTATAAAATATTTTACCTTATTATTAAAATACATACAGGTGTTCCTCTACTTACAAACGAGTTACGTTCCTGAGGCTTGTTTGTAAGTCCAACTTTACTCTTGTAGATACCAAACATATTGTAAAAAATGAAAAGATATTTAGTACAGCTATACCCTTTAATACAGTCTTTAAATCTGACTCACTCTTCTCCTCTTAGGTAATGTTTGTTCTACAGGTATCTGGAATTTTCTTCAAAATAATTCAGTCTCAACCACATTAAACACCTGTTCTGGCAGTTAACTCCCCTCAGTGATGATGTTTGTATCTCTGAAAGTTTGTAAGTTGAACGTTCTTAAGTAGGGGAGCACCTGTACTGTACCTTGTGTTGCCTTTAATTTGATATAGGCCTAATGAGAGCTGATATGTACGAGATGACACTGGAGGTGGCGGGAGGGACTGGCCGTTGCCATGATCGCAAGTCTTAGCCTGTTATGATTAATGTTTCATCATAAATAATATACAAATTTAAATAATAGAAAAAAATACGCCAGGTGTGTGTGTGTGTGTGTATGCGTGTGACATGTCAGTGTATGTAATAAGTCAATTCTATCAATTGTGTATTTTCAGCATTCTGGCAGCTAAACTATTTCAAAATAAACTGTTAAATATCATCATTATCTACCTCACACCACCTGCACCCTTCCGCACAACCCCCCTGCTCCCACCTTCCCTTCTCAAGATAGCACACTGACTACTGTGGACATATATGTTTGACCTTATGATAATCTTTTTTTTCTATTTTTATGCATTCTGTATGAACAATTGTGTGCCTGTAACAGAGTAAAAGACACTGAATAAAAATATGTACTGTGCATCTATTTGAAATTACAAGTTGAAAAAGTAACAACAACACAATTCAAAGTTGGCCCAGTCGGGGTGAAGGTGACCTTATGTTGGAATATGAGAGCTGCGGCTAGCCCGCCCAGTTTTCGTTTGAAATATTACTGTAGGTTATCGTAAAATTTCATTTGCAAATAAGCGAGGTATCTTTGCGAATATCGAATAGGGGTGTTAAAATATCAGTTGCTGATAAGCAGGGTTGTGAATAGCGATGTATTCCTGTATTAAGTACACAATTTAATTAATAGTTCAAAAAATAAATAAATAAATTGCAAAAATCTTTACTGGCATAATTTAAGGGTAATAAATGCATCCAGTTTAAGAAACCAGTTTTATTGTACAGTAATAGAATATGAGAACATATAAAATATACTTTAAAGCTGATACTAATTAAAAGATTTTAATATGTCTCACAGCCATCAGGTGCTGGAAGAAAAGAGTGGTGATGTTCAGTGGTACAGTACTAAATTGATTTCATTTGAAAACAGTTGTACTGTATTTTGAAATACTAATTTCTCAATGTGTGACCCCTTTATCATAATACTGAGGAGGTAAAAAACTGCTTATATTCTGCTAAATAACATGCTAAATACTGCAGTTAATGCAGGCAAGGAAGATAAACTGCCACCTAATACTTTACTGCATTGAGGTTCCAAGTCATTTTTGCATTATAAGTTATATGTGAACTCCCATTAACCAGAAAATTTTAGGATCTCCTGTAGCTCTGCTCAGATCCGAAGGTTATTGAATTGGAAAAGTTCAGCCTGTAGTAGTACTGTATACAGTACAAGCCTAATTATACAAAAATAATAAGCTACAGTGATAATACTGATTCTAAACATTTTCCATTCAGCTGTACTTTCAGCCACTAAAGAATCATGTTGGGGCAACTGTTAGATCTGAATCCCACTAGCAGACTATGAAACCCTTGCATAAAGAACTAAACCCTATTTCTGGTACATATTAATTTTAACCTCTTTGCCACTTTTGAGCTTACCAGTCATTTAGGCAGTCAATCAGCTTCGTATTATAAACTGTTGGCAAGTACTGTTACGAACAAGATCTTGGTTGTACAGTTGAACACAGAAATTGGTGTAACACTCCACTTAGAGATTTGCAACCGGGTCACTCTTACTTGATGGCATGTCACTGTCCTGGTCCACCCCATCATCACACAAAGTTGTTTACTGCCACCCACCACTGTCGATAAAGGATTTGTACTGTACATCTACTGATACTGCAAAAATACTGGTGAAAATAATGTATATTTTACTGTTTGCAGTTCTTAAAGTAATAATATATTAATAACCATTATTCATTCTTTACATCAGAAAGTGTACAAACAAGAGAGCACGATCAGCTGGGTGAGCGCCTCTCACACTGTAGCAAACCTTCGCAGTGGGTTGTTGATTTACAGGCTATGTAGAAAACTTGACCTTTTAATTTTCAATATTTTTATTTATTGCCTTTCCTATATGTGGTCACCTGAAATGAAAGGGTTAATTAAGTCCAGCCTATACAAACACTGGAAAGGCAATAAATAAAGATATTGAAAATTAGGAAATCAAATTTCTTGTAAAGAGTTTAAAAGTAATACTGAAAAATAGTTGTATGGTATTTTCCTTGTGTCAAACAAATAAGAGAATCGATTATTCAATTTTGGTACCAAATCGAATAACTTTTATGAGTTAGCCCAAGATCTCATATTTGTTATTTGACACAAGCTGTAGGAACTCGCCCTTTGAGTTCATACAGCATTCACTAGTAGGTTATACCCTCTCTGAAGAAGATACCACTGATAATTTCTATAATGTTGGCTTCTTTAACTTACTTAAGGCTGTGGCCTCTAGGGGCACAACTAACTGTTAACTCCACACTTGCACATTTGATTGATTCATGCTCAGAGATAGTTATAAATTTCCATTAAATTGCCTCCTGCCTTTCTGTATTAACTGAGTAATTAAAAACTTTCTCATCACTTGGAGAGAGATTTAAGTGATAACACCAGTTTGTTAGTCCTCCTTTGGACATTGTCTATGAATTGGAAATCATTTGCACACAGTAATCTTGAAGGCCAAGCAGATTTGTTTCTCCATAATGAAATAGGTGTACACACTCATTAGAGACAGACCATCTAGGTATGTATTAGGATCTTCACATTAACAAAAAGTACTATAGTTTGTTGTCCACCTAAACAACCAGATCTTTCTTGCATCATGTTACAGTTTGAGAAATGTCTTTTTGACATATCCTTCCTCACTATTATTGTGTATATTTTTACAGAGGGGTAATGTTGAGTGCCGAGTACTTGAGTGTCCCCCAGTGACATGTGACAATCCAATTACACAAGAAGACCAGTGTTGTCCTGTCTGTTGAGGCAAAACTGTTTATAGAACCAGTTTCTTCAATTCGCTTCCAGTTCTTGGAGGCTCTTCTGTGCTCGTCCATTTGCTGATTTGCAAATTTTCTTTTACCAGTTTCCAAGGAATATTACTGACTTTGAATGATTGTAAGTCATCTGCCAAAGAAAGAAAAAACATAGAGCAGTATTTCCTATGTGGTGAACATAATTGTTATGTACTGTGTAAACCAAACATTCTTTTCTTTGAAAATTTCACGATGCAAAATAAATATTATGTTATGTATTACAAAATTAAAGTGAAACAGCATTTGTAAAGTGGGTGCATACAAGATTAGAAATGTAACTGTGATCTTTACAATAAGGACAAAGTTGATTTATTTACAACAGTTTGACGGTACAGGTACTTTCTTACAGATCCCTGATTTATGTACAGTCAACATTGTTTAAAATGATGTGGTGACTGCAGTGATTGTAGGGATCTACTGTAAATAATACTTTACTCATAGAGAACCAACAATATTATCAAGAGCCTTTCACGGTTTTAGACTTTCAGAACATTGCCTGCATATTGCCTGTCACTGCCACTGTGAAGTTTACTTAATTGTTTTACCGTTTAAAAAAAAATAAGTAGCGTTTGCCTAGCTTGCGCTTGCATTACTAGTCAGTAGGAAATCATATATGTTCACAGGTGTATTTACATGAAACTTATGAAAAATATTAACCAATTTGTTTATCACAACTTTTTCTAGGTTTAGCTCAATAGTTACCTTAGCTCTGCTTTTTAATGACATTGTAGCATTACTAATATGGTGCTAATAATTGACATAGAACTTTATATCTATTATATTTATTACATACCATAATACCATTCACTGCCAGTAGTGTTATAGAAATTTTGTTAACTTAAAATAATGTACACCTTTGTTTGTCAGGACATTTCATACATCATCAGACTACATTTAACCACTTGTGTACAGGGTGCCCTCTTTGGTGAAGAAATTAATTAAAGTGGCATCCCCATAGTGAAGGGGTTAAGATGTATTACATGCCTCTTTATTTTTGCACTCTCGGTTACATTAATGGTTATTTGATGATTTTTGAAGTGTGCTTGTACTGTATTTTCCTTACCTCCATATTTAAAATGGTAAAAAAAATTAAGACAGATTTAGTGATTTGTTTGTTAACAATGAGCCACATCAGCAGACTTACATACAACACTTATTCTGAAGAATGTGAGATAGTCTTAGGAATTACTGTACTGTATGTTTAAAACAACTTGATATTTTATTCCTGCTTTAAGATGGCCAAATCAAATTGGAGAGTCTGAAGACTATGATCCCAAACATTAAAAAGCAAAATATCTGCAGTAGTATACTTAATGTGATATACTGTATTGCTTGATATTTTCATTCTGTAGAAAACTAGTCAAGGATATTCTTCACATACTGTACTACATGCAAAGATTTTTTTTTCCGTGTATCCTTTTTTTATGAACAACCTGCAAAGAAATGATAACACAAAGTTACTCCTAATTGACTAGTTTTTCACAGCAAGTTAAATGAATACATCTGTTAATACAAAAAAAAGTTCTGGAATAATGTCTCATGAGTAATAAATTGTTCTCAAGTATAAGTAATCCACACCATTTTTGTTACTCTACTGGAGTATATCTGAACAGATGTTAATGAAAAAATTATCACTCAACAAAGTTTGTATTAACCCAATTCAGAATTATCATTGATAGGCAAACCCCGATTTACGAGGATTTTATTTATGATTTGCACTTACGAAAAACCTTCCCACGCTGATTTACAAAGTAAAGCCCCAATTTACAGAAAGATTTTAATTAATTAAAATGAAAATATATTAAAATAATGCATTTTTTTGCTACTGTACTGTACCAGTATGCTTCCTTATGTAATTATTTTCCAACACTTGAAATGTTATTAAGTCTACAATAAGCATTCAATATGTCGTCATTCTTCTACAACCACCATATAGTAATATCTCCGTTAGCCGGAATCCCCAAAACCTGGAAATCTCTGATAGCCGGAATTGAAATTTGCTCAAAAAATCATTCCTAAAGCCGGAATGTTCCAAAAGTTTCCGGCTTTAGGAACAAATTTTCCGAGATTGAAAATCAAGAGAGTTTTCGGAAAATGTCTTGAATAAAGATGAAAGTTAAATATTTTGGGGGGGACCTGACCTGACCTGACTCAATTTCAGGTGGGGGTATTAATGGTTTCATATCACTGACCTGATGGAATGTCAGGTCACCCTTTCATGGGTGGGGGATTAGTGGGTCTCATAACCTGAAATTATCTTGAATAAATACAAAACTTAAAGTATTTTTTGGAGATTGTGAGAAGTATAAGTATAAATGAGCAAAGTTGTATCCCTTCAACATTACATTACATAACATTTTACATATGAGTGAGAACGCAGAAGGTATGGGTGATTAGAGAGATGGAGTGATAACATGCACCAGTGTTACCGAGCGATAAACTTGTTCAGGAGTCAGGTGGTGAGGTGACGTGCCAAGACATTTCCACAGTACACACATTAACAGAACTACAAAACCATTGTCTTATAACATTTAACATTATAATTTCTATTTTAAAATTAGACAACTGATCAATGATTAAACCAGGGCATATGGAGACTCATTATACATTAGTGATGTGTCAAAGCTTTGAAACTGCAACCACATAAATTATCACAACCTGTACTCAAATATACTAAGTTAATTACTAAAATTATTATGGGTAGTGCAAAATATGGGATGTTTATACTCAAATTAATTGTTATCTTACAAGAATTACATCAATGCAAGTTATATTTTCCTAAGTCAAGTCAGTGACATTTTTCTAAGCAAAAAAAAAAAATAAATAAACCCCTCTACCTTTCATAATCCTTGAGTTGGCATTAATCTCCCCACCTCCCAGCCGGAGGGAGAAGGGTCTATTTTTTTTTTGGGGAGGTAAACCACTATCCCCCCCCCAAAAGGGTGGCCTCACTGTCTTCCATCTGTCCTTGAACACTGGATAGACCGCCCACGACTAATTCGTGTGTGTGTGTGTGTGGTTGTCTGTGTGGAGTGTGGGGTGCAAAATAAGTTATGTTTATACTCAAATTAATCACTATCTTACAAGAATTCCAGCAATGTAAGTTATATTCTTGCAAGTCAAGTCAGTGACATTTTTTAAGTGTTGATCGCTCCTGAATTTTTTGTGAAGAGGTTGAGGGATCCATTGGGGGGGTAAAAGTGACTGCACCACCCTCCTCCCCCAAAGGGTTGCTTCACTGCTTGTCTAAAGTACTGACTCATTCCATGATACAATATTGTTTATTTGTTTTTCATTAATTAGTACAGATACGTTACTGTAATAATCTGTGCTTATTAATACCTTGTACCCTTCATATAGTGCTATGTACCTGTATATACCTCATAGGTAAAAAGTAATGTCATTCAAGACATATTCAGGTCATAAGACCCACTAATCCCCCACCCAACACTGGGTGACCCGACGTTACATCAGGTCAGGTTAGTAACATGACCCGATAATCTCCCACCCAACCATCATCGCCAGCGTTAAGACATGATTAGTTATGTATTACAGTTAATTGAGTGAAGTGTGTAACAGAGACGTGACCGATCGCTCAAGCGACTAACCAGCCGATCAGTGGTGAAGAGGATAAAAGTAACCCAGCTCTATTATTGCCCGTATCATATAGAGCTTTTGTTTTTAAATATATTAATTTAACCAAACTTTTAGATAAAGTATTCAGGATTATTTTGATAAAAAAAATGGTGTGTAACGAAATTAGAACTGATTTTAATGACTCCGGTATCAACATTTCTTAAATTTTTTAATAAAAGAATGAAATTTCCATCACTACATCATAGAGAAATATTTTGTTTAAGGATATCTTATTGGAAATGTTTGGTAGAGAATTTTTAAGGATTATGGTATCAAATTCATCTCCCTATCACAATTAGCCACGCTTGAGTGAGGGAGGGGGGGGGTGAGACCACGCTACCCTACCCCACCCCCTAAAAAGGTTCACTACCTGACCTAGCTTGGAGAAGGAAGTGCCCCTAAGTGCTCGCGTTAGTGACCAGAGGAAATGGCCACCTTGGAGCGTTGTGTTGTGGGGGAAGAGGAGCGGAGTGTGAGGAAAGACGACCTCTTGGCCACTCTTTGTTAAGTCAGCTGGAGCAGTTGAGGAGTGAGATGGACGCTCTAAAGGGGGAGAATGAAGCCCTCAGGACTGAACTCCTTCAGGTAGGTGTCCTGAAGGAGGAGTAGGCGTGGAGAGTGGTTGTCTTCAAGGGGACTAGGGTCAGACTCAGGAAAGCTGACCAGGGTGTGGAGTGCAGTAACCCCTACCAGGTGTTGGAGGAAGCTGGCTGGGAAGAGAAGAGGAAGGACGAGGAAGAGAAGAGGCAGGACGTTGTGGTGCAAGGAGAGGAAAGGGCAGTTGTACAAACCCTGCCCAGTGGTAAGGTCGTGGTAGTTGGGGACAGCCAGGTGAGGTTTTTAGATAGGACTTTTTGTGCAAGAGAAAGGAAACATAGGACTAGGGTATGTTTTCCTGGGGCTGGGATAGGGCATGTAGCTGAGAGGATAGATAGGATTTTGTCAGGGGAGGGTACCAATCCAGTAGTGTGTCTTAGTGTGAGAGGAAACTACATAGGAAAGGTTAGGAGTGAGGAACTTTTCAAGAGGTATATGGAGGCGCTGGGGAAGATTAGAGATAGGGGAGGGATCCCGATAGTATGTGGTGTCTTGCCAAGAAGAGGAGTTGGTTGTGAATGGCTGTCCAGGGCAATTGCTATAAATTGCCAACTGGAAAAACATTGTGCAAACAATAGTTGGGCATTCATTGATAACTGGCAACCGTTCTATGGCAACGACTACCTTTACAGTCGTGACGGAGTACACTTGTCTCGTGCGGGGGTAAAGACGTTGTCTGCATCCCTGGAGCGTGAAATTGTCACTTCAAAGAGGGAGGGGGGGTTTCGCCAGTAGAGAGAAGTTGAGGTAAGTGGGAGTCAAAAAACAAGCAGGTCCTAGGAAGTAAAATTGGTTACTCAGGACAAGGGGTAAAACAGGACCAGGGAAGGGTTGGTTTAAATGTATACTATACAAACAGTAGGAGCATTAGAAATAAAATAGACTTGCTGAGAGCGGTTGTATGTACCGAGAATGAAGACGTCATAGCAATCACCGAAACTTGGATGAATCTGGCACGCAAATTTTTTTTATCAGAGTACCACATAGAAGGGTACAACGTTTTTCACAAGGACTAGGAAGGGGGGAGGGGTCGCATTCTTTGTCAAGGATACATTAAAATGTTGTATCAATAATTCAGTAAAGGGTGAAATAGGAACCGAGTCTGTATGGGTAGAAATCACGGAAGGAAGAGAAAAACTAATTATGGGAGTGATTTACAGGCCCCCAAGTCTTGGGAAAGAAGCAGCTCAGCCCATATGGCAGGAAATGAGTAGTGCAGCAAAATTTAACAACCTGTGCATTATGGGGGATTTCAACTTCAGAAATATTGACTGGGACAACATTGTAGGTGACTGAATCTGAAGACTTCCTAGATGCAGTACAGGACAAGAACAAAATACAGTATACCATACAGAAAAATTAGGTCAAATAAGAATGAGCCAAGGTGGATGACCAGAAAACTTAAACATGCCATAGGAATAAAGAAAGGAATTTATAAGAAATTAAAGGGAAGGGGGGAGCAGCTCAGAAATAGGTATAATGAACCATTGGACGGTGAGAATTTCCAACATAGGACTTCAAACACATCCAACGAAGCCCGTGTTGATGTCAGCACTCGAGGATTCTGGACACAGGGACAGCGAGCCTTCTTTGACATCAGGATTTTTTATCCCATGGCCGCATGTCACCGTAACTTAGCTCTCGATGCTGCACACAGGAGGAACGAGAACGACAAGATAAGGGCATATGAGGAGAGAATTCAGAACGTTGATCAAGGCAGCTTCACTCCTCTGGTGTTCACAACCTCTGGTGGAATGGGACCAAGTGCAAGATGCTTCTACGCCAGACTCGCAGAGGTGCTATCCGAACAGAAGCAGCAGCCCAGAAGTTATGTTACAGCTTGGATGAGATGTCGACTGTCCTTCTCTCTCCTTAGATCTGCTTTGCTCTGCCTCGGGAATGAGAGCATCGGCCCCAAAGCCGACAACGGTTGCAGATATTGATTATGAGGCAACAGTCACTGAATGCCGCATAGATCTGCAGCTGATCTTACTCAACACTGTTAGGATAGCTACTTATGTATTAGAATATTTAATTTTAAGGTAATAAAATGGCGGCGAAGGTGTGGTTATTGGGGTAGGATGAAGGACACGTACAGGATCAGTGGTCACAGGCTACAGTAGCACAGGATATAGTGGTCACAGGTTACAGTAGTACCTGATACAGTGGACACAGGTTACAGGATACAGTGGATACAGATTGCAGTAGTACAGGATACAGTGATCACAGGAACAAAAGACAAAATACATTGAAAAATTAATCTATAAACTATACAGGTAAAATGACTTCCAGAGAGATTGCACATGAGGGGAACTGCATTTATAAATGGAGTGTTGAAATATTAAACATAACAGTTAGTAAGAACTTGAGAGATATTGCATCGATAATTTAATACACAGTCTCACT